TATTTATTTTATTTGTTAGAGAAAGTATTCTTGATAATATTCACGGTTCGGTTAAGACAGCTTAGATTCGTAGGCAGAACGTACAGTTTATGATCCCCAGCATTCACAACCTTTGTTTACTTGAGAAGAAAATAAGAAGATTAAAGTTATTTGGAAATCTAGATGCCCCTTAAATACAAGCACATTGTTAATCTATGGGCAATTAGGCTGTGTTAATGTTTCGCTATGTAAGTAGATGACTGCTCTTACTGCATTTATGTGAGAATATTTTTCGCAATGTGAAATCAAAATTAACTGAAATTCTACCTAACTCTCCCACCCACACATACACTAAAAAGGTTTAACAACTTGTTAAAGAATAACAGTATTTTAAAGACTATTATTACAGTCTAAAAAAAAAAGATTAAAAGCAGGAATTAACTTATCAGTCGCAGGTATTTAACAATTTTTTTTGAAGAGATTATAAACAGGGGGCGTCAACATTTAATAATCGCAAAAAAAAATTTGAGGTATTTAAATAACAGTTAAAGATTTTGAATTGGCATGGATACAGCCCCAGAAGTACAGGTCGCAGATCCGGCTACTGAAACACCAAAAAATAACGTCATGGACACTTCTCCCAGTCCGCAACCAATGCTGACGCTACCATCGACCAATCCTAACACGAGCTCAAGAAAACCACCGCCTATCATGGTTAAAGATGAAAGATTCAAATTTTCAGAAGTTAAAGCACTCCTCATCAGTTATAATCTGCAGGCTGAAAAGGATTACTTTGGTCAATTAATTCAGAGTGGATTTAAAATCCAATCCAAATCCCCTGCGCTTTATAAACAAATCGTACAGGTCTTCAAAGACAAAGGTATTCGATATCACTGCTTCGAATTGCCTGAAAACAAATATGTTAAGGCTGTTATTAGACATCTCCCCAATGACACGGACGAAAGCGAAATTGCTGAGTATTTAACTCAAAAAGGTTATAGCATCATCAGAGTGAATCAACTCAAACGAAGACGAGACGGAAAAGTCATAAATATGCCTCTCTTCTTGATCACCCTGGATCGTAAGGAAAAAAGTAAAAATATCTTCGACGAAGAATTCATCCTAGGAATGAGGATTAAAGTAGAAAGATACCGAGGTAGAGCTGGACCCCTGCAGTGTTTTCGCTGCCAGGGATTTCACCATGCTCAGACACATTGCCACCATGAACCTCGGTGCGTTAAGTGTGGAGACGCTCATCAATCGTTTTTATGTAAAAAAGACAAGAATACTCCCCCTACGTGTGCGAATTGTAAGATGACTGGACACACTGCGAACTTTCGTGGTTGTGAAAAGTTTCCAAAGCCTAAAGCTCAGGTTCAGCCATCATTTTATGCAGATCGAGTAATTAGTAACAAATCCTACTCGCAAGCCTTAGCCAGTGGACTTGCCCCTGAAGCGGTAAGCGAAGCTAAAACCATTCTACATGAACTTAAAAGCTTTGTCGCAATTATTCAAAATTCTGGACTTCCCCTGCTCTTCAAGCAACTAACCCAAGAAAAAAACGCTCTACCTCAAGAAAATGTGATCTCAGATAATGGGCCAACACACTAATAAGGCAAATTTAATCCGCTTCATGGTGTGGAATTCAAATAGTCTCCGCAATAAAATCTCAGAACTGCAAGAATTTCTGTACGAGCACGATATTGACTTCGCGCTCATTACTGAGACACATGCTCAAAGATGTTACAGTCTGAATATCTCCAACTACAGAATCTATCGCTGTGATAGAACTAGCCATCGAGGCGGAGGTGTCGCCATCTATGTGAAGAGAAATTTACCATCTTGCCTAGTTAAAGAGTGTAAAGACTTTGGTTGCGAGCTGATTACAGTGTGCATTACCCTTCCGGTGTACAAAAATATTTATTTCAGTGCTTTTTATAATCCACCGCATAATGTGTTAACTTATAACCTACTAGACTCAATCCTTCCTCCTGATACTCCTACGATCCTGGCAGGAGACCTAAATGCCAAGAGCATCGCATGGAATTGCCGTAAAGGAAATACAAACGGTAAAACTCTACAAAATTACATTTTAAGCCATCCTGTTGTTATTTACACACCGGACGAATACACTTATCGCCCGGACAGAATAGAATATTCCGACATTCTGGATATTGTTTTGTCCACCACAACTATCCCTATCACGCTTGAAGTATTGCACGAACTATCCTCGGATCACTTACCGATCATTGCTACTTTAGGAGTGAACAAAAGTAATACTGCTTCCACTAGGAAAATTACTGACTGGCAGCGCTATGAACTCTTCATGAAAGACAGTGTTCTTGATGTCAGAAATTTGATCTGTGTTGATAACATCGACTCTGCAGTATCCTCATTTACCTCAAAAATTCAAAGGGCTATTGAAAATGCTAGTGATACAGTTGTAAATACAAACACGCTCTTCCGACTGCCGCCTAAAATACGTCAAATGATGAGGCATAGAAATCGCCTCAGAAAAATTTACAACCTTACCTGGGATCCTGTCGCCAAAAGGGCGATAAATCGCCTAAACCGGGACATCAAAACTGCTGTGAAGCAACACAAGGACGAACTCTGGTGTGAAAAAATGTGCAACTTAGATTTCCGTGACGGATCTCTTTGGACTTTAATAAAAAACCTCAAAGCAAATTTTGTTACCAATCGTCCCATCTTCCATAACGGAGTTGTTGCCCTTTCAAATGAAGATAAAGCAAATGTTTTCGCCTCGCATTTGGAACTACAATTTACGCCAAATGATTGGCCTGTGGACAGAAACTTTGAACTTTTCACCCTTACTCATGTGAAAGATTGGCTAAATGCCCCCACAGCACGAAATATTCCCAAATTTGCTACCCCTGTAGAAGTGTCTCAAATTATTAAAAAACTCAAATCACGCAAAGCTCCCGGAAATGATGGCATTTCTAATACTGCAGTTAAAATGTTACCTCCCTGTGCAGTAGCGAATTTCACTAGCATTTTAAATGCGTGTTTATTTAACTCCTACTTTCCACAGCAGTGGAAAAGTGCAAAAATTATTTTAATTCCTAAACCTGGAAAGGACCACACGAAACCAGATGGCTATCGACCTATTAGTCTCCTGCCTGTGCTCGGAAAAATTTATGAGCGCATTATTCTCTCACGTATGCAATCCTATCTAAACATGTTGCCTCCGGAACAATTTGGTTTCCGCCAGCACCTTTCTACTACGAAGCAGTTGTTACGCATTACTGACTTTTGTGGCTCTGCTTTGCATAACAAACAAAGTGTTGCTCTCCTCATGTTGGACGTGGCGAAAGCCTTCGACCGCGTCTGGCATGAGGGGCTCATATCCAAATTAATTACTGCTAACGTGGACCGAGAAATGATCTTGACAATTCACTCCTTCATTACAAACCGGACTTTTTGTGTTTGTGTGAACGGTGCTATCTCCTCGTCTAGAAATATCCATAGCGGTATTCCGCAAGGGTCAGTTCTAGGACCTTATATGTATCTATTTTATGCTGCTGACTTTCCTCAAGCATCTCAAATAACGCTATTTTGGCCTGTTATGCAGACGACACTGCCCTGGCAGTAAAGTCTGTTAATATGAATCACGCCATCAAAAAACTACAAGATGTCATTCCTAGCATTGAACGATGGTGCGCGCAATGGAAAGTCCAAATAAACGCAGCCAAATCTCAACTTCTCCTCATACGCAGAAATAAAAGGAACACACCTGTCAAAAGAGGACTTTATCTATTTAACGAAATTGTTCCAATTGTTCCCCATGCCAAGTACCTCGGAGTGAGTGATTATAAATGATCGCTTAACGTGGACTAACCATATAAATTACGTCAGGGATAAGGCCTTACAAATTATCAAATGTCTCTTCCCAATTATTGGTAAATACTCCACTCTCGACCTGGGAAAAAAGCGGCTCATCTACACGTCTGCGATCAGACCGATCATGACTTACGCCTCCCCAGCGTGGGCCGCCCTGACCAAAACTGACCTCAATAAATTATGTGTTGTGCAGAACCGCTATCTCAGGATTATTACGAATGCTCATTATTTCGTGACAAATAAGTGTCTACAAGATGACCTCAAGATCGACCCCTTAGATAAGTTCATCGCAAAGCAAAATCGGAATTTCTTCAGAGAAGCCCAGGACTGCAATCATATGCGTCAATTTAACCTCTTTGAATATGAAATATTGCACGAAGACAGGCACCTTAGACCATTTACTGCATTTATCCTCAATGAAAATCAGAACTTTCCAACCTAAGTTTTTACCCTGTGTTTACTTGGAAAACTGAAATGCTTAAAGTTAAGCAGCCACTATCGGGGTCAAGGCACGGGAGGGTGACCTCCCACGGGACTACGAACTAAAGTCTTCTACTGCTTACTGTAGATCTCTCACTGCTCCTATTGGTTTCAAATTTCTTTTATTTTATTTAATTTAACTTTTAGTTTACTGGAAAGTATGTTTTTATGTCTCTGCAATTGAATATTTTGTAAATAGCAAATTCTCATGATTTTCGCATACACGTCTCAACAGCCAATCAAAAGACCTCTACTAAGAGATATCTTTGACTGCTTCTGCTGGACTCCCTGCGGAATTTTACTTTTGTATATAGTCTTTCTAGTTGTGAGAGAAAAATGCACTTTGATGAGTTTATGCACTGAATATTTGTAAAAATGCACACTGTACCTGAAACTCGGACCAGCATCTCTCCAGCCTACCAGACACCGCTATAGCCTCACGTGACAAAGTAGTCACACCTTCTTTCATTTTGCATCCTGTCCTCCGGACACACTCAAGCATTTGCTATACCTGCAATGTACTTTTTAATTCATGACAGCCGGTATACAGCTTGCTATCAGCAAGCTACATATAAGGAAAAAGACATCAGCCGCTTTATTCTGAAAAGGATAATGAAGATCGTCTTTTTGTTTAACATTTTCAAAATGAGGCGGAAAATCCACTCAAGATTAGATGCAACCTCATTAGATGACGCCTGCGCCTGCTAATTTCCTTGAAATTGACGTGCTCAATCCAATTACGCATGGAGTAGCCCGAAAACGTTATACTGATTATGAAGTTCGTTTACGGGTGAGTAAATTGCCGAATCAAAAATGTCAGTAATTTATTTATTAGCCAAATTATTTAGAAGAAATTACAGCAACTATGAAAGTTATATGTATGCCTCCTGTCACTCCTTAAACGGTTTTAATGCTCCTTAAACGGTTTCTAGAAAATCAGAAAGTATGTATTATTTGATGCATAAAGTAACTTTTTTTATGTTGAATTTGGTGTTGAGAAGGAGAGTTAATTTTATATACTATCTATAATTCGCTTTTAAAGAGAAAGATAAAACTGTTCCTTGAAATTCAAAGTTCTTGGTCAAAGTTTTCCCATTTGTCGCTCCGGTTAGCTATCTCTTCTGTGTATATAATGCTGTTATATGATATAAGATTAGTATTATGTGTGGTCAGTTTTATTGGATTTCATTAAGTTTTTAAAATCAGTTTTATTTTGGGAGAACTTTTCAATTTGATTTCTTTCTGAAATCTACATTAAACTTGACTACATACATAATTATAAGGTGATAAAAATAGACAGGTTAAAGGAAAGTTGGATGAATTTTTTAAGTGCATACATATATACTTAAAATCTGTGAAAGCTGCTACTCTTATTATTGCTATAAACAAAGATTCCTGAAACAATTTTAATGTTTCTGTTCTTGACTTCAGTAGGACAAACCTGCACTCAAGTAAAGACCTACTTTAATAAAACAGCAACATATTTGTTATAGTATTAGAATTTTATAGTATATGCATATAAAGATATCCTGTCTTTTGTTGTCTCGTAAAAGTGTTAAAGTTGATTTTTCTTAATATTAACCATGCATCTTGGAATATTAAAGTTATTTGTTCAGTTTTATCATGTCTGTCTATAACTTCGCCTTCTACCAAAAATTTATTGCAATTTTTCCTGGTACTTATGTATTATCACAACCATATTGTCACAGTTAGGTGAATTTTACAGGAAAAAAAAATTACTATAAAAAATTATGTATTAAATACATATTCTACATTTAAACTTTATATTTATTCCAAAAGCAGTTGGCAAACCAGGTTATAAATGGGTTTTTATTATGTTAGAAATTTCACATTGGTTGCTTTGTAAAAGAATTTGAAGCATTGTTCCTTTAGAGATTTTGTTGCAAAATAATGTATTCCTGCAGAAATTTTACCTCTCTTTCTTTTATTATAGAAAAATTCTACAAGTACAAATTTTGAAATCAAGACAAAAGGCAATCATAATTTTTCTATAATAGCCATTGAAACTTGGAATGCAACAAAAAGATTGCATACAAAAATGCTGACATTGGAAACTGAGTATTTGTCATGCGAATGATTGCCAGAATAATTGTTATGGACAGAATGGGGGTGTATTCTGAAGCTTTGGTAATATATATTAAGGTGGTTTTGATAATATGTAAATAGCCTTTTCTCTTCTTTGTAAATTTAAAGGAATGTTCCTCCCTCCCTTTTACCATGTTAAAGTTTTAAATCATCTATTTTATGCCTTAACTCTCTATATGTATAACTTGCTTACTCTGACTGAGTTAGACCATAATGCTTGGTATGGACTTCTGAATTTTCACATTTAATTTGCAAACTAATCTTAGCTTTCATATATAACTTTCATAATAGTTTATTCTTTTAATAATTTTCCTTTTTGTATAGTTATATCTGACAGTAATATTTTATCATGGCAGGAAGAAACAGTGTGGTTCTTATATCTTTGTGACTGAATTTTCTGTAATTACCCCTTTATGTTTATAGCCCACCATCGCCCGAGCGGTAAAGTCGCTGAACACTGGTAGTTCGGTCTGAGGTTCGAATCCCGCAAACAGGCTGGCTGCATGGGCGTTTTCGGGGTTTTTCCCATGTGTAACGTGTATACGAGCCAGTTTCCCTTAAAAAGTCCTCCACGAAGGCATCCCTCCCCTGAGGCAGATAGCCCTAGTGTGCTTTCCCATAATTAAATACACCACACCTTTATGTTTATATATGCAGTACAAAGTCTGAAATCATGCTACATCTGGACTTCTGGACCACCAGACAAAAGTAAAGAAATAAAAGAATTCCTTTCTTGTAAAGCTTAGGAATGGAGAATATAATAACAAAAGGAAACAAGTGTGTCATAAAGGCAATTTTTCTCAGGATTAAGTGAGATTCCTGCACATCACATTAAAACATCTAGCTAGGGAGTCGCATTATGGCCAGTAACTGTGTATTGATTGACGCTTGCCTGACTCAGAGTTTTGAGAGTTGTGGGGTTGTAGGGGGCACGGTAGGCATTGAAGGTTTCGCCACCAGGTGCAATTTCTGTCTGTTGTAAACTCTAAAACTTTTCCCTTCCTTAAATTCTAATGCCCAGTGCCTTTCCTAAATTCTGCCATCCTAATTTTTGTTGCCTGTCTTAATTCCAATTGTTTTTACACCCATAAATTCTGACATCTGGTGCAAACGCACCAGTTGCACCTGCTTTGACGTCAGCCATGTGGTTGGGAGGGAGGTTAGCATTTTCTGACTTAAATTATTAGTGAAGGTACAGTGTTGTCATATCCATATGTCATCTTACTAGATTTAATTGCTGATTTAAACTCTGAAACTTTCCAGTATCCTTAAAAATCTTGATTTACTGTACTGGTATGGTATTAAAATGTATACATATATAGCCGTTGATAAAATATGTGAATATCTAATTAACTTCTCCTTTTAATATGGTGTTTGCTTATTTAATTTTTTTTTAATTCTTTGATGTATTAAATAAAATAAAATCTGTGTTCTTAGTCTTGTATGTCACTACAGCTAGTGCTTGTTTTGAATCAGTGCAGAATGAAATTTTTAGATCAGCAAACATTAAAATATAAGCGGTTACACATTAACTTTAGATATTAAATGGAGGTGAGTCATTCCGAAGTTTCCAGTCATCAGGAATGTACGGGTGTTCTTGAGTTTCAAATAATGAGTTCGTCGTTGCAGTATACAGAGCCATTTTGGGGGAAATTACTCACTTTTAGGCCTTTTTCTAAGCGCTTGAGAAAGTGACTCAACTGAATGTCTGATATAAAACAGTGATGTCAGTAAGAAATTGTTATAAAAAAAGAAAGCTGATAGAGTGGAGTTTCAAATATGGAATCAGAAATAATTGAGAAATCATAAATAAATAATTCGATAATTTTATAACATCAGCCAACACTGAAAGCAGTGATAATGAGAAAGATAAAGTGCTTTAAAAATGCCTTTTCCCACTGGGGTTTATCTGAGCTAACGGAGACAACTGACGTAACCAACCCATTACGTCATCTCCAAAACCAGTTTTTTCCCATAGAGCAGCAAGTTGAAAAATCTGAATTTCAGGCATAGTGGAGCTAGTCAGCACTTGGAACTGAGTTAGCTCAGATAAACCCCAGTGGGAATGGTCCTTAACTGACAGGAAGTTAAGTGAATTGTTAAAAACAGAACAGGGGACTGTCTGATTGTGCAGTGGAGATTGACCCAAATGAAAAAAGAAAAGGACACTTTATGAGAAGCAATACAAAACTCTGTGTACCATACCGCAAAACAATTTTTTGAGTTGTGTCGGTCATTGACCCAAGCAGAAATCATCAGGTTTTTAAAAATTAGTATTGCATTCTTAAAAAGAAGTAATAGAAATCCTTTCAATGAACATTTGTTTTGCTTTTTCCTTTTAATTTAAACAATATTTAAGTTTATTTAAATTACATGTATGTACTTAATCTGAATTATACCTAACACATTTTTTCCCATAGAAAATTTTGTGGATTGGGATTTTTTCATACACCCAATGTATTAATGGCATAACTGCCACATTTGGCAAAGGTTTAATGTAACATCCTTTCCTTTTGTGGTTTCAAAGGGTGATTATGTCAGATGAACTTTTACAAAACATTTTGGTTCATTTTACAAAATTATATGTAATATTTGTGTTTGATTAAAATTATATTATTCAGCTAAATAACAAGCATATTAATGAACAAATTAGTAAAAGATAAATTAGTCTTGAGAATTTTTTATAAAAGAACTTTAAGTATTAATTACTGTTAACTTGAAATTACTGAAAGAAATCTAATGAATTTTTCATTTGTAGACAAACTTACCTGTTTTCAAGTCAAAGGAATCCAGTGTCAGGAGGCGATACAGTGATTTTGAATGGCTTAGGAATGAGTTGGAAAGGGACAGTAAAGTAATTTTATATTGCTACTCTTTAGTTACATTAATTATAATTAAGTTTTGTGTGATTTTATTTTAAAAAGTAGTTATAAAAGTGTTTATTTATTATAAAAAGTAGTTTAAAAATTTTTAAGTGTTATGTAAAAAGTAAAGATTATTTGCAGACATCACTAAGTCTGCAATGTAACATTTTGAATTATAATTGGTTATACAGTATAAAGTCTTTACTCCGGATATCCATAATCCGGAATGATCTATAATCCGGACCTCAGAGCTACAAACTTTCTGCGCATGTGCATGCACATAATACGTTTATGCATGCGCATTTAATGTATAATGGACGGCATAAGCTAGGCTAAAATTATCTGTTTCACTTAATGTTGCAGATTGCGTTGTTCCTTATTGTTCCAATTGGATCCGGCTTATTATTTTTTGCAGACAGTTGGAGCAATTTTATAAAAATTAAGCTTGAACTTTCGATTATGTCAAAAAGAGTTTCCGATTCTGGAGCTGCCAAAGGATCTAGAAAGCGAAAGCATGTTTCGATGTCCATCAAACAAAAAGTGGAATTGCTGCAAAAAAGGGATAAAGGAATGAGGAAAGTGACAGAGAGGTTAGTGAAAACGAAAAAATTTCGATTGGCAAAGTTAGTTGGTATTCTCAGCACAGAAATTACAAGCCTTGAACAGTGAAACTTTGTAACTGAACAAGAAATTATGTCTGTTTATAGAATTAAAGAGAAAGTATTAGCACAAAAAATGAAACAACCTACATTGAAAGAAATGCTTAATAAAGTAAACAAATAAATATTAAGCTTTTTTTTTTGTAAATTTTGATACCCTTTAGATCATAATTGCTCTTTATTTCATAAAAAACGGTTTCATACTTTTGGTTTTATAATTTCTGCATGCCATCTTACCAGATTTAAATTGATGATCTATAATCCGGAATCGCCGAAGTCCCGACAAGTCTGGATTAAAGACTTTGTACTGTATTTTACAGAATGAATGTTGCTTATAGAGCCAGTTATTAGTTTCGTAGTTATGAAATTACCAACCTAAACTTACTTTTTGCTTTAATAAGTAAAGGTAACACACAAAACGTTAAAATAACACTCCTTTGGACATAATTTAAAATGTGAAACCTTTCAGATTTTTTTAAGGAATTTTTTTTATGCTTTACATCTGTGCATTTGATATTTTTTCATAATAAATATGTGGTGGAGAATTCAGATTCTTAATTTCATTTCCACACTATTACCAATCTGACAAATCATTATTTATTATTTTTTGCTTTCATCGTTGCAATAATGTACAGGCAGTCTTCGGGGAAATGTCATGCATTGCCTTTAGTGCTACAAAGACTATTATTATTTTTGTAAATTAAATCTTTCCAGGTACACCAGCAAGCACCTGTGTCCAGTAATTATTTGATTGTAGTCGAAATTGCCTATCATATTTTTAGAAACTTCAAAGTTCAACAAATAATCTCCTTTTTTCCTGAAATGTTCAATTTCTCTTTCCAACAGTCATAATAGAAATCCTTGATTTTTATGAATAACTATTCTCTTTAGTATTTGAATATTGAACGCATCCCCAGCATTACACATAGCAGCCTCTTTTGCCAGCATGCCTTCCCTCTCATTGCCTATAACACCAGTATGAACTTTCACCCAATTCATTTTCACTTCATATATTTTCTCAACTTTTAAAAGATCTTTTATACATGAGACCAAAATATTAGTGTTATCAACATCTTCTAGTGTTTCCAAGCTAGATAATGAGTCTGTATATATATTAATATATGTTTTTGCAATCAGGATTTCATTAATCCATTTCAGAGCAAATATAACAGCAGCCAATTCAGCTTGAAAAACTGAATTGTAAGGTTTAAGTCTAATTTTGCCGTGATCTATTTCTGTACCAAACAAGTAAACCACATATGCTGCACCAATCCCATTGTCATAACCCGAACCATCAGTAAATATGTCCATTTTTTGTGCACAAACATAGTATAGAGTTTTCTTCCATCAAAACAATTTGTCATTAATATCTACTCTCAAATTTCTGTAATTTTTAAAAATTTTGTTATGTGTAAGTTTTCAGTTTTCCTGTATTAATTTTCTAATAATAAAATCTGGGTTTTAATGTAGCTATTACTCATAATTAATGTAAGATATTTCCATCTAGATTGTTGTCCCTCCACTTCCTGGAAAGGCATGGAAACGACAGCTTCCATTGAGGGGTGATGATGGAATTTATGATGAAGAATTTATTGAAGATAGAAGAAAAGGCTTAGAAGTTTTCATTAATAAGTAAGGAATTTTGCCAGGTCTATTAGTTTGTAACTGCTAACAATTATTTGATATTTATTAATGCTATTATAGTTGACAGTTTTTTTATAGAGGAGAATGTGCTGTATATCGGTAGATGATAGAGTTACTAATATAGCTCAGCATTTTAGGTACTGTGAGCAAAAAAGGGATGGTGTCTATAAATTAAATTAAAAGTTCAGTAGAATTCATAATTGATGCTTATTGTGTTTTTGTCCCTTCCCCCCTCAAAAATAAAAAGAAAGTATGTTATCTTATGTTTAACTGTAATTTAATTTCAAAAAGTAAAGTTATCTTATGTTTTTCTGTAATTTAATTTCAAAATGGCATTAATATTGAATAGATCTGAAAAAGGATTCTTCAGTGTAATTTTTTCATTATCTTAATTATTTGAGGAAAAGTTTTATTTAAAAGATTTCAAAAACGAGAATTCAATAAGTTCATATGCAAGTAGAAAAGAATACTCTGAAAGAATAATAGTAGAGGCCAATTAAGAGACAGCCTTTGAGTAATTGATGAATATTTCATTTAATAAAGTGTAATTAATAAATCTTGAGGTTTTTTTTTTAATAATGTATATATAATGAACTTGACAAAATAAAAACTGATAATAATCAGCAAAGGAGAACTTAATGAATCATGTTGTATTTCATAATTAATTAAATTGTAAAAAACAGCATGCTGTTCTCCATAATATACTGGCATATAGAATTTCAAGAACAGGTTTCAACTTTCCATTGCAGTTGCATGGCTATAGTGAAATTATACAGCAAGCATGTTGAAGCAGGTACTTTGACAAAGAAAACAGCAGTTAGTAGAAAATGCACAAAGAGATTATTCATAAATGTATTTATTACCATTGTGGTGCTACGATATACACTCTGCATTACGTATGTGCAACATTTTAATTTATGTATTGCTGTGGGAAAAAAAAATTTATGCTTATGTATTACCTTGCCAACCTTAAAAATTGATGTAGATCCCAACAAAGTTACACGAATCATTCGTATAGAATTTTGAGCTGCACTTCTGTCTGCAGCTCTTAAAACAAAATATTTGTCAGTCTGCATAATCCACCAAATAGTCACTGCTGCAGAAGTATTTGACCTGCTTCATAAAACGGGTTTTGTCAGTTTCTGCTGTTTTGATAAGCTGTCTGATTTTACTAGCAGCTCTGTTTAGCATTAGTTATTTGTTTTAAACCTGTTGTAGTTTTATTGGCCATATCCAGCTGTTTTTTCCCCCATTCTACAGATGTTAATTCTGTTGAGCAGTTGTAAGTGAACCAAAGTGCTGTCACAAATGTGATTTTACAGCCATCAAACCATGTTTCTTTTTGAATGAATATTCTTTGTCACAATTTTTCATTGTTGCATCACCATTGTTTATGTATGGTTACGTCAAATAAAAGAGCAGATATTATGAGTTTTTCATGATGCCATGCTTATTGATAATCATATCCTGTCATGTTCTCATGAGAATAGGCTGCTAGTCAGTATGACTATGAAAAACAAAGGTCTTTTGCTGTTAGGCGAACCAAAGGTCATACACATGGATGACAAGTCAGTATAGGCCGATATTTCTTTTTTAAAGAGGGATGCTTAGATTCAAAAATTCATGGAATCATGACTGAAAGGCTAGAGGAACTTGATTTAGAAACTGATCATATTTAATATTGGTATTGGAATTTACTAAGAGGAGATCTACTACACCCTTGGATTCCAATATCGTCGACCAGCTGGTGCAAGACTTAGCACTGCTAAAGAAGGAAGCTTCCGTGGTAAAGGATAAGTTGAACTAACCTAATAACCCTGGATTACCCAAAGCTAGGATTAATAACAAAACTATTAAATAAAAAATTGTAAACCAAAAATAATGTTGAAGATAGCAATGGTTCTGATTCTGAAAGTTTCATATTTGCAACTCAAATGGCAAAGTATTTAAAAATTGACCAAAATAAGCAAAATCTACCTATTAAGAATATAGTTTATGGGAAGAAAAGAAGGAAGGAGGGGGAAAACTAAGAATACTGCTAATTATAGCAAATTTTAGTAGTCACAGCTTTGAGGATTTTCTAATCCATGGGGCAAACAGCACTGATACAAAATTTTAAGGAATCTGAAGCCTTTACCATACAAGAAAAATGTCCAAAAATGTGAATTCTTAAAATTTTACCATTCACAAAATATGACCACAGAAAGTGCATCATTTTTCAAGAAATGCAGTGAGCACTATGTTATCAATGCTAAATGCCACAAACCCATTAAAGATTGTATTTAGTGGGCTTTACACCTCAACTGATAACAAAAAAAAATATTGTTATGTAATACGTATGTTAATCCATAGCACATGATACATTTTGTCTTTAAACATCGATCATGAAACCTTCATTATGATGTGCATATAGTGCTAGTTGGTTCTCTCTCTCATATATTTTTAAAGACTCCTCATCTGATAGTTTTCAAAAATTTGCAGTATTTTTAAACATGAAGGACTAAAGAAAGTTTAAATCTTGTCTCTAGTCTTTTTAATTTCCTGATGCATACAGAAACCAATTTATGTTACCTTGAGAATTCTGTGGTGTATCTTTTGTTGGCAATACTAATTATAATACATTTATTTCTTAAATTTTGTCATCATGGTATAATAAGTCTTCAGTTTAAACATCATAACTTCAATATTGATGGAAAATAGCTAGTAGCACATTTTAATCTTTCATAGATATTTCTCCGAAATCAAAATTCTGGAAATTTGCTCTTATCTTTCTCACTGTCTATTACCCCCATATTCTTGTATTCTACATACAGCATTAAATAAATGTTCATGTTATAGAGAAAAATCTGCCCTAATTCTTTTTGGAAAATTTTAATTTTTTCTAATTCCTTTTATGAATAAGTTTTTCTTGGTCAACAATAAAAGTAAATTTAGAAGATTTAAAATTAGCTTTGATTTGAAAATTAGCTATTGATGGGCCTGCTATTTGTGTTGGTGTGCTGTTCGTTTATGTTCAGTAAATTGTTATTCAGAGAAGGTACTTTTCTTATTTAATGCAAATATTATATTTTCTGAAGTGCATAGATACAAGTTTCAGATTTTCTGTAGATTTTAAATTAAAAATATTGTAAAGTTACATACATATCTTCATGAAACTATGCTAATTTAGTAGATGTGCCGCCCACACAGTATAGTGGTTAGTCGAGCCAACTGCGATACTAATGGGCTTGGGTTCGAATCCAGGTGAAGGCATGGTTGCAACTGCCCGTTCTTTCATAGGAGGCAAAGGTGGTCGACATATTAGGTACCTGCATAATAAAGTGACCACCACTCTGGCCTTAATAGTGGCCAAGCTGAAGTTGTTTGAGGGCCTGCCATTCCGGGGGGGGGGAGAGGAATTTAGTAGATATGTGTTTGCATTTATCATGTACCAACTCAGTCCTCGAAGACACCTTCACTTATTTATAATTAATTTACTCCAACACATATGAGCTGCTTAGAGAGGGTTATGTGCATTTTTTTAAATTTCGGCTCCAGACACAACAGTTCCAAACCTTCTTTGATGTAAAAACTTCACATGGTTTTGCCATTTTAAGATCTGTATAAAATTATTTAGTACGATATTATTAAAACATTTTGCACTAAGTTTTGGATGATTCAACAATTTAATAACATTTTTATTTTTTATTTTTGTGAGAAATCTTCACTTTCACAATCAAAATTACATAAGAGAAGTACCTTTTAAATAAAAAAGATAAATTTAAAGCATTTCAATTGCTTTTATTAAGTGTTTGTAAATTGTCTATATTTTTACTGTTTTATTTCTTATGTATTGATATTTTGATGGACCACATACATAAATTTGTAAACTTTTTTTTTTTAAGCTGTATTTTGTTTGCCTTTTAGTTTGCTAATTTTAATTCTTATTGCTAATATTTTAATTTTTTTAAGGGTTGCTGGACATCCACTGGCTCAGAATGAACGCTGCCTTCATATGTTTCTTCAAGATTCACAAATTGACAAAAATTATGTTCCTGGAAAAATTAGAAACACATGAAAATGCCATGCCATAAACAACTTGAGTTATACTTTACAGTGTCCTTCAATTCATGCAGTCATGTTTTGTCTTCTTTTCAGTGGGACTATGTTTATTTCCTTTTATCTTCCTTCAATCTTTGAAAGTTCAAAATACTAATATAAACATTACACTTAGTTCTGTTGTAAATCTCTTTAACTTTATTATATTTTAAAATGTTAAATTATTTATATATATTCAAATGCAATCAGTATAAAATACCAATGTGTAATGAATGACTCTTGAAATGTTTTCACAAGAAGCATTCCCATTTTCATTTCAAAATTAAAATCATTTATTAACAAAATTTTAAGCTTTTGAATTGTTACACTATTTACATACCTTAATCAGATTTTTTAAATGCAATGTTGTTTCATATATATATGCATACATTTAGTTTTGCCATTCAATCACATTTTCTTATATTACGAATGCAGATTTTTTAATGACTGTTTATTGTTGAAAATGATCTTTGTACATTTTTCTTAGGATCAATGAAGTTGTAAACTAATAGAGAATAAATTTGACTTTTAAATCTGCATATTTTTGCTGAGTTCAATAAAGTGTAAACATTCATTAGCTGTTCTTTTCATTGTATCAGAGTGCTTGATTTCTGAAACGATAAAATTTTAACTGTCGAATGTATTCCACACCAGAGTGCAGAAATGAACACACTTCTTTTTTAATCAAACTGCTTGCCAAGATGGAGACTTAATAAAATATATTAAAACTGTAAGCTCCATTGTAGCAATAATGTAATTAAAACACTAAATATATCTTCATCTCCTTGAATTAAAATTTATTCATTATAATTGTGCAGTTTATTCTTATCTGAAAGATAAATGATTCTTAGATTCTTTTTATTCAATTTCTCCCCCTTCCCAATAAGCTGTTTTCTGTTTTTTATAAGTTTGAAAAGTTTTTAATCTTCCTCCATAATTTGTCTAGATTTAATATCAAGGCACCTAGTGAACTAAATAGCAAATTATTGCTGAGTTCAAGTAGTTACTACAGAGACTTGAGAAGGGTTAAAATACCCTTTTATTCACTCAAAGAAATAATAATGGATAGCCCCTTCTCGGGGTTACAGCCTCCACGTAGGCTTTTATAATAAGAAACTAATCCAATACTAGACTAAATAGACTTATTAATTTAGAAGTTAAACAACAAAAATCAGCATTATATTTTTTAATTTTCACAGGACATTCCATTTGCATTTTGGCAGCTGAGAATGATGGTTCGGTAAAACCATCAAACTAGTCCTGTAAAAATTTGAAAATATAACACTGATTTTTGCTGTTTGACTTCTAAATTAATGCTTGTTTGTCATGTTATTGTATGTTAATCTTGAAACAGACTTAGCCAAAGCTAGACACGAATACCTAACATAGTTGACACTTAAATTAACCTAGCCAATGGTTCTCAACAGGCACATACGATATGGCCAAGAGTACTAGATTTAAGAACGAAGTAGCCAGAGGGCAAACATGCTCCACTAAGCACTTTCTCTCAAAGTAAACTGAAATTTCCTTAAATACTTCTAATTTATTTGCAGAAAATGCAATACTAAAAATTCATTCTAGTAGAGACTAGTAGATGGGAAACAAGAATAGACCGTAAAACTTGTTTAAACTTAAAATAACTGTTAGAAACTTAATGTCTGCAAGTTCTTTGCCAAAACTAAGTTAAATTTTTTTTGATTGGAAAAAGCTTTTGTAAATAGTTTAAGTGAATGGCAATAATGATTGATTTTGATAATGCTAATTCTGAATTCAAAAAGCTTGCAATTCCAGTTTTTAATGCAATTATTATACATATGTGAAAACGATTAGCCTTTTTATTATGTGCTGCTTTGAATTGGTATAACTTTTGAAGTGGATTGTTGTAAATTGCTTCTTTTTTAAATATTTTGTAGCAATTTACTACAGTGTATTTTTAAAAATTTATTATTACAGCAATTGCACCAAAAGTAGATTTATCAGCGACATAATTTGCTCCAAACTGTAGCAGGTTATTGCGTAGCTGCAATTAATTCCTGAGCTATCTGGTTTGATTCAGATCTGGAGAATTTGAAAGCCAATACTATCCACTAAATTTTTTTATTTCAAGTCACTGACGAATTAAAAATTCTCAGTGTTCTTTGTTTTGATTAAGAAGGTGATTGTACATACCTAAACATTTCATTGAGGACTTTGGAAAACCTGCATCACAGTGTTATGCAAAATGTTAACCTTGTTTTACTAGTTCATTTTATTCCTCCAAATGCCTTCTGAAACCAACCGTTTTCCAGCTGAGTTATACGTATGCAGCCATCTTACTTTGAAGCAAGAAACAGAATTAATGTCTAGACAGTTGTTACATTAACTGAGGATGTAACTCAAAATGCACTTTTATACTGATTTATTGTAACCATGTGGAGTATTTTATGAATTCCTTTTAAATGAACTATGCAACCAATACTAAATTTTATTATGCTGAAATAGCATCAAACTTATTAAATTTTTTTATTTAAAATTATTAAGTAAAAAAAAACCACTGTTGATGCAGATTTTGAATAAAACTATCATTGTTGAAGGCAATGATACTTTTTTTTTGGGGGGGGGCTCCTGAAAAAGAGGGTCCTCTGTTTTATCCTTGAAATTGCTAGGTTTTTTTTTTTTTTTTTTTTTTTCCTTCTTCCTCCCAAAATCTATGCCAAGCAACAGTTGCATTTTTTCATGCATGATTTTAAATCCCACATTAATATGTGTGCCTTCTATTTTTTTCTCATTTTACATATTTTACAAATGTTTAGTGTGGTTTCTGTTGCTGAAATGATAGCCATTTGTGAAAACTCATTTTGGCTGACACTTGGCATTGTTGACCCTAGCATTAGTGATATGGTTTTGAAAATCCTGGAGGCATCCAGGATTGACTGGAGAAAAGATGGTTATAGATTGTTTTTAAGTGAAGGCATAAGGATAGTGTGCTCAATAAACTCCCACAGATTAAAGTAATGCACAAATAAATCCAAAAACCGAGAAGGACATCAAATAAACACTTCTATCTCCTCACCTATGTATCATATCCATTTTTAGGGGCTGTTTTTGTAATATCCTTGTATAAGGAAATAATCCTTGTATAAGGAAAAATTGTAAGGGAATAAGTCTTCTTCACCTTTATTTCTTTATGTTATCAACCGGCTTTGGAATATGTGAAAGACATATATAGTCTGAATTGATATCTGCTACATCAGTTAAAAGTAGAATGCTGAACATTTGTGAAATATAGCCCACCCCCCAAAAAAAATAATTTACTCTAATAAAATTTCATAGCACTTGCATAGTTTTTAATGATTTTAAATATTTCATGGTATTATGAATATTTTTATATTTAAATAGCCAAAGAATTGATTTGAATGATTCCATGCATGACGACTATTCGCTGTATCAAGACTATGAAGTTTAGCATGATCATAAAAGAAATAGTTTAATGAATTGTGTTCATTGCTGTGCAGTTGTGTGCAACAACTGCTCTGTTTACTTCTTTTTTTACTTTTCTGCATATCTCGTATTGATTTAAGGTTGTCCAGCAAATTATTGTAGTATTAGGATTTTTCTTTCAAAAATTATTATTTTGTGTTTCTGACAGTTGATATTGCAGGGATGATTCTGTTTCAGAATTTTTTGCTTTTTTTAAATCTGCAGTTTCCTATTTGTGAAATGTAGACTCATTATTATTCTCAAATTTAGTTTTAAAACAAATATACCATTCAGAGATTATAAAAATTTAAATTTTAAGCTATATAAAATTTAGTGAGAGATCAAAATTCTTGTGTGAGCAAACTAATTTTGCTCATATCTGATAGAGGAAGGTTACTTTTGCTGTTTGTGTTGTATAGAAATGGGGGGGGGGAAACTGATATTGGAAAGTTGGCTAAAGCATTCTGGCTAAAGAAAACAAATGCCCTGTATTAAAAAAAAATGTTTAAATCTATTTTAACTTGCTTACTGTTTTAACTTAAAATGATTAAATCTATTTTAACTTGCTAACTTGCTTACTATTTTAACTTGTACCCATTACTGAAAGTTCATTTATTTATATGAATGATATGACAGGATGTAGAACATCTTTGAATACTGAGAGTTCAGCTAGTTCTCAAACTGAGAAATATTGTTTATCTTCATTGTACAAATATACATGTGTAGCTTTTGGGTCAGAAAATCCTTCTGGAGATGCTGTTGTTAAAGATATTAAAGAAAATTTACTAAATAACTGGACAGATTACTAAAATTCTTTACAGTCCATGAATCATTCTCTTGCATTTAGCAGTTTCTCACCTGCAACATTTGCATACTTCAAGTTCTGATCTGTTGCTTATAAAATTTAGTGAAAAGCCGTTGTCTACTTCAAAATGTCTTGCTAATCTGCTAAACTTTCTTTTGTTACACTATGTATTATGTATGTATATATTGAATGAAATAAAATTTTAAATCATGAAAAAAGCTTTTTAAGGTAACTTTAATTTAAATCATGAAAAAGATTTTGAAAGGTATTTGAAATTAAGTCATGAATAACAAAAATTCAAACTTTGAAAAAGAAAATTAATAAACCAAATAATTATCTCCATTGATCTATTATCGTCATTGATCAAGTATTTATCATTATTATATATATTAAGATACAAAAATATGTAAATCAAAATTCTAAGTTAAATTTGCAATAGCCTCTTACCTCTTTGTTTTAATCTAAATATTTCCTCTTTACGTTCTAAAAACATTAATTGCTCATGATAAACTTTTATAGGCTGCACCATTTCCAGATTAATCCATTTCATGTAACAGTTTTACATAAGCCTGGTGATGTAAAGGTTTTGTGAACTACAGCTCAAAACAGCTGATAATAATTTTAAAGCATTATTGATTATCTAATCAAAATGTATTGAAATTGAGACTAATCCACTATGGATTGAAATTTTATTCTGCACGCATCCCATTTGCCTATGCTCCTTGGCCTAACTAGACTGTGGCTTTCTGCTTCTCTTCTTACTGCAAAACTGTCAAATTTATAAATATTCTCAACAGGCATGATTAATGAGCCAAGTTATTTGTCGTTGCAAAACTTAATTAAACAGGAATATTAAATCTGCTTCAGCTGCCCCCCCCTTATGGATCAACATCTATGCACTCGGTTTTCTGCGTCATCACATTTATATATATATAAATATAGCAATTCCCGGAAGCTGAAGCTTCCTCTTCCTTCATAAACTCTTCTCCTTAAACTTTGTAATTATTTTTTAAATGGTAGCAGCTAACTGTGTGAAATGGTGTAGTGAAACATAAATTAATTTTTAATAAATTACAATATGTATATTGTTGCATGCATACACAGTTGCATAATAGATTGAATCCCTGCAGAACTGTTGATAACTTGATAAAAATTTATTTTACCGAAAGAAACACTTCACAGTTATGAAACTTTCCACAAAAATATTCGTGCAGCTCTTCACAGTATCACGAAGTACAATCAGTAATTGTACTTCAAACTACTAAGGACATTAAACACAGCATAATGCAAAGTGCATCTAAAAGGTAAAGCTCTCATGACTATCTCAATACTCTGAGTTCAGCCTTGAACTAACAACAACCAAGAGACATATTCTCTCCTGTACTGTGTACTGCTGTAAAGAGCTGTACGAGTATTTTTGTGGAAAGTTTCATAACTGTGAAGTGTTTCTTTTTTTAAAATAAATTTTATAAAGTTATCACCAGTTCTGCATGCATTCAATTTATTAGTAATCCTTATGCATACAGCAATATACATATTTTAATTTATTAGAAATTACTTTATATATTATACAATAACTATTCATTCTCCGGTCTTGTATAGTTTTCTCCTGGCCACGAGATATTTCTAGTACCAGCCAGTTTCTTAATGAAAGCCTTCATCAAGACAAACTTACTTTTAAGCATATAACCCTCATCTGCTTTTCTACCAGTCCAATTTCTGACATACAAGAAAGAAGTTTATAATCAGAAGGTATTCATTTGCACAAAAAAAAAAAAAAAAAAAAAAAAAAAAAAAAGTTTATTTAATGCTAATTTTTGCCTAAATTTAGTTTTTCTGATACAGACGAGCTGTACTTAATTGGAGAGGCATCGAAAAGACAAAAGTAAGCGATGCATTTTTTCCAAATACCGTGTAGTGGTTTCATCAGTTTTCCTTTGGCATTAGGAGCCCAAGTAGATGAGATCACTAAATCCAAGTAATCAAATGGTTCCTGTAGGTAAATAGGCAATACATGTTTTGTCATGGTCATCTAAACTAACATAAAAGATTAGCAGATATTGGAATGCATAGTTTTGCTTACATTTTTTAATGTAAATTGAAAAAAAGAAAAGTTACATTTGTATGCGATTTATTTATTGTAAAAAAAAAGTATGTAATGAATCACTTTAGTAATGAAATTATTTATACAGTATTTCTCGAATAAGTTTTGAATATTAATAAATTTTATTATTAATAGCTTTTTAAATAAACTATTAGAAAATGTTAATAAATTATTTGATTTGAAAGGTGTAATAAAATCCTCAGAATTATTTTTTAAATATTCTGAAAGATATTGCATTGCCCTTTTTCCTTTGTCTCTATTTCCTTTTTCACTGTTGACCTACATCAGTACGGCAATTAGAGATTCATTCCAAGATGAAAAATATATATATTGTGATAAAACTACTGTTTTCTAGTACCATTTTAAAAGTTGTAAAATGCAGGAATTTAAAAGGTAACCATACGATTTTGTATATTTTCTTTTCTTATTTCCCTTCATTTTATTTCGTGAATATAATTTATGAGAGTTTAGAATCATAATTTAGAAAACTAAATGGCAAAGATTTTGGGCTTTGGCATAGGAAAAATGCAGTTTTTTTAAAATTCACTGCATATTTAAAATTTTGAATCGTGTATTTGTACCAATTGAACAAGAAAACATATTTCTATTGAAAGCTACTTTGCAATTACAATAATTTGAAATAGATCCAAGTTGTTTTATTTTATTATTATAGTATTGCATATTTCTCTGGAAAACGATTTCGGAGCAGTAACACCAATAAAATTGTCGCCCTTAATTTGCAAATCAGAGCTATTTGATTCTTAATACTATTTCAAAACTCTCTGAGTAAAGATTTCTGATTCTATAAATTCTTTACTTTGTTGAAAAGGACAAGTGAGTTAAGTTCCAAGTTCCATTCATCATTACTCTTAAATTTTACTCTCCTGTTGAAGAGTCTAAAAAAATGCAAGTTTTGCTACATTCATTTGTCACATCAGCAAGACATTGCAGGATACATTTACGATCATGCAAACTTCTGTGCATATTCAAGATCTTGCAGATTCCGTAATACAGAATCCTATATCTAACACGTTGATTGATGTTATTTGAAGATATTCAGTCCACTTTAATTTTTGAATAACTGAAGTAATTAATGCCGCCCAATCGGTATAGTGGTTAGCGTCGCTGAGTGCCCTACCAAAGGGCCTGGGTTCGAATCCCGGAGAAGGTATGGACGTTTGTAAATGTATAGTATCTGTGCAGCATGGGGACACTCTAAATATGCCACGAGTCGAAAGTCCTCTCGATCTCTTGTCAACTTGAGCTCCTTGCCACCAGGAATTTTGTCGCCTTGGGCTGACTGTAGTGAGCATTAGCAACAACAACAGCAATAATTAATAAAATAGTAGCTGCACGATTCGCCTCAAACCATTCGTGAACAATTTTGTCAGGATTACTTGGTGCATTATGCGGTGATAGTAATGACTATTGCTGAAGCTTTTGTTGCTTTAGAACACAATCATCCTTTATTTTGATATACAAGCAATTGAGAAATAATCATTTGCATTTAGGGAATGCCCTAATACCTACTAGTATTATATAAGCTAAAGCCATGTTACAAACTATTACGCTGCCCCGATATTCTACCTGTGTCTCACAGTGGTGTACTGGACATGAAGTCTCCGAGAGTATTTTCGGAGGAATCGTATCCAATAAACTGCCCTTTATTCTTTCTGGGAAAAGCAATGACCTATCAATTTCTGTCTAATGTGCACTGAAGCTGTTGCTTCCCACGTGTAAACATCGTTCATGATCATCCAACTGATTCGCATTACTGCTATGATTTCAATGGTATAGAAACTTCACTACTGACACATCTTTTCATCAGCCCATTCTGTTTAGCTTCGATATATCTCCATCGTTGTAGTGCGTGGGCGTTTCACAAAATTTACTATTTTTAAGGCTTCTGCTGGATAATCACGGTTTTCCTCCCTTTTTTCAAGTCAATCTGCCGCTTTTCTTCTTAATTAAGGACATTGCTGTGTTGATGGATGTCTAAGATCCCATTTTATTTCTACCGTCAGAAGCCCATGCCCCTGGGATCAAACCTATTACGGTGAGACCAAATTTTGATTTCTGGATTTTTGAAAAATGATACTGAAACGGAATTTTAAGACCGTATTAACGACGAGTTCAGAACCATATTAACGATGACATTTGAAATAATTTTAAAAATTATTAATTCTAAATGCTGGGCAAAGTAACATTAAAAATTCACTGCGTGAGCTTTATTTGAATAAAGCCACATCTCTGAAGTACCGTCGCAATTAATGGACTAATTTTTGACTTGTTAAGCAAATATCAGTTTTTAAATGAAATATAAAGGAGTATACTTTCAAGGAACAATGAAAGCTCCTTTGTTAGGAGCTAGAAAAGCTCCTTTGTTAGAGCCTTTTCAAATAATAGGAGTGATACTTAGCAAGTCTATTCAGTTGCGTTTTTATAATAAACTTCAATACCTTTTTTATTACGTTTCTGTTAAGTAATTTTTTTCCTAATTGCTAAAATCACTTGTATTCTTTGAATAATTTTTAGAGGTGAGGTTTTTCTTCATTAGCTATTCTGAATTAAGGTACTTCGAATTATTTGAAATTGCGTTTGTAAAAGTATTCTGAAAGCGTATGCATGGAATTGTGATACTAATTGCGATCTTTTGCATAGAATTGCGATATTTTTAACCAGGTGATAAAATTATTTTTGGACATCTTTCGCCTCAGCTGGTTATCACTGAAGGCCGAAATAGAATTTCTTAATTGCTTTGGTCAAGTCTTGCATCATTTCAGTTTGGTAGATGACCACGTCATATACACTTTTTCCTGTATTTGAAGTGAGATATTGAAATTTTGATGTTAAAAGTAAATATTAGAGGCAGCACAAATAAAAATTACATTTTTACTGCACAAAGCAAGAGGAGCATGGAATGCCCAGTGGAAAAAAATGGCACAACTTTAATCTTCTTCTTGCTTCCTCTGTTTTTGAAAATTTAAGTATATGCTGTAGCTTTGCGGGCTTTGTTACTTATGTTTCGAACTTGAAATTTTAATTTGAACATTATTAAAATATCTACATCTTTAATGAAATTGTCAATGTTATTCAAATAATTTATGCCGTAGACTTAGCGTGAATGAATGCTGTAATATAGCCTCAAATATTTTTCCTCAAGTAGCCCTGCGATAATTCAACTCAAGTAACATAAACAAAATCAACGTGTTTCGCACTGAAAATCACTATAATAACGAGTTTCAAGCTGAAAATTTTAAAGTTATATTGTTATTGGATGTGAGGAAAAACAAAAAGGTACAGTTGTAATTTTTATGGATTACTAAGCTGACAGAACATATTTTGCGTCTTTAAAAATTTTATATTTGTTTGACGTAAGTGTTACAGAAAACCAAAAGTGTAAATTCGAAGTTATTTTTAAATTGTAATTTGTCATTTCTTTTTAATATTAAATTTTTACAAAAATTGTTTTTGTCGTTAACATTTCTGTCTGGTTGCGACTGAATAACGGATGTTTTTTCAAGCCTTGGTTAAATTTCGTGGTTATTTTTTTTTTAAATACAAAAGTGTTGATTTTATATTTTCGTGGTTCTGGAAAAGCAGTTGTGAATTAATTTTAATTGATTTGCATTATGCATCAAATAATACATGATAAGAATGCGTAATTATAATAAATCATGGAATAAGTTAATTAAACGAAAAATATGAAGGTGTGTGTTATATTTGAGTAAAATAGTAAAACCGTAGTTAATCAGAAAGCTGGAGAAATTTTATATTGTATTACAAGATTCTGAAAACCAGCTGTGGCTAATTTTTCACAGCTTTTTTCTTTAGAGTTTGTAATGAAAACAAAAGATTTCAGTATATTACATACAAAAATAGTGAATCATGAAATCTGTATCGCTCAGGGAACATTTTCAAATATTCTTCTCTTCAGATGGGGGTACAGCATAATTGCTGATAAGTATTGATAGAAAGTAATGCAAAAGATCGTGAATTTTAAATTACGTATGTATATAAATACAATGTGATAATCTTGCATAGTAATGTGACATATTTATATCTACCTTTAGCTGTTACAAATAACTTTTCTGCTGGCTGTCTTGATTAGTGTAACTTGTCCTAATTATATTATATGAATAAAGTTCTGTGTATGGAAACTAAGAACTGGCTGTAGGGTTGGGAAATATGAAAATGTGACAGATTGCGCCTTATGTCGTATGTGTTTGAAGTAATAAATTAATATTAAATGGCTACATATTGTAAGTATATTTGGCAGCTAGGTAAGAGGATTACTTTTCTGTTAGGTAAAATCCTAGTATACGATGCAGCCTTGGCGTGATTTTGACAATTATCGCCAACACCAAAAATGATCTAAAGAACGTCGCTATTTTGAAAATTATCACTAACACCAAAAATGATCCAAAGAACGTCTATATACTATACACTATATACTATGTGTGTACATACATAATATATACTATATATATTCTTTGAATGACCTGTTTACTACTCATCGTACATGTCCCATTTTTACTGCTCATCATAAAGTCGCCAAAAGTAGCCAAATCCCGTGTGCACCGCATACTAGGATTAAACCTTCTGTTATGGATGGAGAGAAAGAAAAATGGAAAAGGCAATTATGGTGTGTGACATGAAAAGGTTGGCAAAATAAAAAATGTTTCAAATTAACAAGGTTGCAAAGAACTCGAGAGCAGCAATAAATTTCTTGTGTGTGAGTAAAATTCTCGGTTGATCTTTACAATATGGTAACTGGTATTTTGGCGACATTTTGGAGGCGATAAAGGTTACTACCTGGGACTTTGGTAATAATGTGAGCAGTACTCAGTTCCGATTACGCATTATTTTGCGTGAGGGAAATGAGAGGTCATGTGATATTAATGGACGAATTACGGTTCTTTAATCGGAAAAGGGAAGAAATCGGGAAAAAATGTGGAAATTTTGTATTTAGCTTTATTCTGTGTTGTGTGAAACAGTGTTGTTTAATTTTTGGATCCTATGGCCCTAACTAAAGTGAATTCGAAATGGGTATTTAGGCATTGTGATAAAGAGAAGTTTGCTTTTTATTTAGCGGAGGAAGTATGGAGGAAAAATTCGCACAAAAAATCTTTCAATAATTTTATTGAAAGAATTAGAAAAGTGTATCCGCCATGTAATCAAGATTCTGAAGAAGATTAGGTAAGTTAGTATTTTTAATTATTTGAGGATATTATTTTTATACATTGTTCTAAATGTAAGGTGGAAAGGAATTTGGTATTATTGGGAAAATTGTTATTAGCAATGATTTAGTTTAAAGTAATTAGGATTGTAAGGTAATTTTTATTAATTTAATGTATGTGCTCATTTATATTTTAAGTAGTGTTTTGAATTTAATTATATTTTAATTAAATGATAGTTATTTTGTGAATTTTATGTTTGTAGGAATTTGGTTGGTATACGTTTAAGTTGAAATAAACGTGCATGGAAATAATTTAAATATTTGATACTAAGTATTTGTAATGCTTGCGGTATGAATTCGTTGGTAACGTGTATAATGTAATAGATGATTTAGAGGTAAAAGTTTTTTGGATATTTTATTTATTTTATATGTGGAAATGTTCATATTTGTAAAGGGTAAATACTTTTTTCGCGATCAGGTAATTTCATATATGTTCTTTTTACCGGGTTTAAAGATTGAGAAAATTGTCATGTATTTTCGTGAAATTTTTCTAATTTATGAGAAAAAAGCAGTGTACATGGATATAGTGAAGTGTGCGCAATGCCATTTTTGTGCAATTCTGGGATGTTTTTTTAAGTAAAAATAAGTTGACGTGTACATGGTTTATGTGTATGTGTTATTTTGAAAAACCCGTAAGGAGTATGGTATTGTGCACTTTTTCCCAATTTTGCAGTGAATATTTGTCATGATTAAGCAGTTTTGTTTGATAAAATTTCTAGCATAAGTGTAATTCGGCTAGTAGATTGTTGGAAGAAGTGTTCAGTAGATAAAAAGAAAAGAAACATGTCTTTACTTCGTGAAGACAAAATGGCGGCGGGGAAAAAAAAATAGAGGGTTGCTGTAGGAGAGTTGGTTGCCAAATTTTTGCCAAAAAATTGCCAAGTTACCATAATGTAAAGATCAACCAAATTCTCAGGTATTTACTAGAATTCACAAATGAGAGTATTTCTGTGTGAGAAATGTAATAACGTTATTTGTAAGAAATTAAGATAATATAACAGACGTTTTTAATTGAGACGACAATGCCCCAACCAGCTAACAGATTGCAAAATCTGTAGTATAGTTCTAGATTCAGAAAATAGTACTACCAATAATGAAAAAAGTGACAGAAATGTTTTTGAGAATAACAGCATTTCGACTGACAATTTAGTAGAAATTCTTGATACTGCTGTTACAGGACTTGAACAGTGGAACTTTGTAACTGAAAAAGATATTATATCTAATTGTAGAATTAAAGAAAAAGTAATAGTGTAAAAACAAAGCAACTTAAACAACTTACTTTGAAAGAAATGTTAAGTAAAGCAAATAAATATTGAGCTTTTTTTTTATTATTTTAATGAATAAATTTTGATTCTCTTAAAGTCATAAATGCTTTATTATTTCATAAACCACTATTTTATATTTTTATGTTTGATTAATTATTATATTAGTTGTTACTCTCTTTTTTGTTTTATAACTGCTATCAAATTAATGTTGATTTTGCATTAACAGTTCATGTGATCCCCAGTATTATGCAGTTAATTAGTATTAATATTCCGAGAGTGTAGAAGAAATACATGCCAGCGTCAAGCATAAATTTAAGCAAAAATGAATTTTTGATCGACTTTTTGCAGCTGCAAGTGGGGCCCTTTTCATCTAGAAGTAAACTTGTTCTGAGTGGTAAAAGTATAGTTTAGGGTACCCCTTGGCGATTTTTGGCAGTACATGGATACCGATTTTGTGCAATTCTTTGACTTGTTATTTTGGCTTGCGGCGATTTTTGCGTCAAAAATCGTCGCTACACAAAGCCAAAATAACAAGACAAATAATTGCACAAACTCGGTATCCATGTACACATCGACTTATTTTCACTTAAAAAAACCCGAATTTTACAAAAATGGCATTGCGCACTCCTTTGACTTTATCCATGTACACGTCGACCTATTTTCACTTAAAAAAAAAATCCCCGAATTGCACAAAAATGGCATTGCGCACTCTTTTAACTTTATCTATGTACACGTCAACCTATTTTCACTTAAAAAATCCCAGAATTGCACAAACTTGCATTGTGCACTTCCTTTACTTTGTCCATGTACACATCGATATATTTTCACTTAAAAAGTCAAAGGAGCACCAAATTCTACAATATAGGCAAACAAAAAATACATAATCTCAATAAAATACATTTTAAACCAAACAATAAAATAACATAAAAAAAGGAAAAACATGTTATACATTTAAGCACTACCAAAAGCAAATACTCACTTACCATGATTTTCGAGTTCGCTTCGTACACCCAGAGCCACGTAAAAATCAAAATATCAATCATACTCAAATGACTTTTTTCAAACCAGGTACTCTTTCTGATCGAACACTTCACATAGTGACCATCTGAACCTTTCTTCCTACAAACCCATTCAAGTCCATCTAAACGGTTTTAACATACACCACAAAAATGCTTACAAAACATGCCATGATTCAAAATTTCCCAGAATCATGCACCCGATTACGTCACAATACGGTTTCCATAACATTCAACTACTCAGGCTACCATAAATGAAACAACAACTTGGCGATAAATCAAACAACAACTTCGCCATAATACAAGGGGTACCTTAAAGTCTACTCTACCCTTCTGAGTTTTATGTTGAATCACAGCCAATTGAAGGTCGATTTTTCCTGTGTAAAATATCGCATTGATAGCTTAAGAGTAAATGAACAACTGTTGAGTGGGTTTTTTTTTTTTTTTTTTTTTTTTTTTTTAATGTTCTAAATTGAGTTCTATATTTTCTAGTTAGACAAAATGCAGACACAAAAACAGAATGCTGTCAAACCAAAGCAAGTGAAATTATGGAAGAATTCTCCCAGTTCGGACAAAAAAAGTGTGAGTTAATTTTAAATATTCTTATGTTAAAAATATCATTGCTAATAAATTAAAGCAATACATTTATATGTTAAATGTGGACAACAGTAAAATTAGGTAATGCTTCAGATTTTATTTTAATTGAAAAGAGTAGGCGGAAGTTTAAATCATTGTAAACGTTGGAATGTTTTTAGTGCAATTTAAGTTTTATCAGACTATGTCTGAATTATTTTAAGGCCTCATAGTGGCTGCTTTGTTAAAACTCTTAAATGCTGGTAGTTTGACTTGGGTTTGATGCTAAGTGAATGACATGGCTGGTTTTGTAATTTTAGTACCCCGTGTGTAATGTGAATAAGGTTCTCTTAGAACAACAGTTCATAAACTGTTTGTCTCACAGAGCTGTTTTTAAAATCAATAGCATCCCTTTAGCTCATCTTACATCTTACAAGGTAATAGACAGGGGGAGAGGATAAGAGATCTAAGCAATTGTACAAAGGCCGTAAAATCATGTTTTAAAAATTTTGAAATGTATCAGAATACAGTACAAAGTCTTTAATCCGGACTCGTCGGGATTTCGGCTATTCCGGATTAGGGGTTTTTCCAGATTATAGATCATCAATTTAAATCTGGTAAGATGGCATGCAGAAATTATAAAATTAAAAATATGAAACCGTAATTTATGAAATAAAAAGCAATTATGATGTAAAGGGTATAAAAATTTACCAAAAAAAAAAAAAAAAAAAAAAAAAAAAAAGCTTAATGTTTATTTGTTTACTTTATTAAACATTTCTTTCAATGTAAGTTGTTTAAGTTGCTTTGTTTTATATGCTAATACTTTCTCTTTAATTCTATAAACAGACATAATTTCTTGTTCAGTTACAAAGTTCTGCTGTTCAAATCCTGTAATTGCTGTGGCGAGAATACCAACTAACTAGTCATTCGAAATTTTTTCGTTTTCACTAACCTCTCTGTCACTTTCTTCATGCCTTTATCCATTTTTTGCAGCAATTCCACTTTTTGTTTGATGCACATAGAAACACGCTTTGGCTTTGTAGATCCATTGGCAGCTCCAGAATCGGAAACTCTTTTTGACATAATCAAAGGTCAAGGTTACTTTTTATATAAAATTGCTCTAACAGTCTGCAAAAAATAATAAGCCGGATCCAATTAGAAGATTAAGGAACAATGCAATCTGCAACATTAGATGAAATAGATAATTTTAGCCTAGCTTATACCGTCCGTTATACATTAAGCGCGCATGTGTAAACGTATTATGCGCATGCATAAATGCTATACATGCACATAAATGCTATGCATGCTGTTTATGCATGTGCAGAAAGTTTGTAGCTTTGAGGTCCGGATTATAGATCATTCTGGATTATGGACATCCAGATTAAAGACTTTGTACTGTATATCAGCTTTTTCCTCATTTTTTACCAGTGCATGATAATCAACGTACATGATATTTGCAAAATGTGGCCATATATGCACCCCTTCCATGTTCAACACATTTAATACCCATTTAAAGCCATCAAGCAGATTCGCTAGAGCTGATGCAAAGTAATGTTCAAATGAATCTTTCAAAGCATCATGTGCCTGAAGATATATATATATATATTTGCGTATTGTCTTGGTTCCTGATGTTATTAAAAAAGCTTTTTATAAGATGTAAGTAGGTGGTGTTTCCAGTTTTCATGTTTTCTAATCATTACATTCATTTCTTCTTGAAAGAAGGCACTTTGGTGTTTGTGTCAAAATCTGTGGCACTTTCTTCTGTGTAATGATAGATTGATTACATTCACTTTGCTGAAAATAAGAGCCAAATATGCTATTTTGCACACCAAGTCTTCATCATTTAAAACCGTCACTAACAGAATGTGATGGTCTGTGAGAAATGCTGCTACCTGTGTATGCAGTTCCATTGAACATGTGAAAGCTTTTCCTGTGCAAAGGCATTTTACTTTTTAATATGCAGCAGAATTTATTCAAATGTGGTAAAGCACACACACGCTATCTGCCTAAGGGAAGAGATGCCTTTATGGAGGATTTTATAAGGAAACTAGCTTGTATTCACATTACAAAACAGGGAAAATGATGAAAACCAACCTTGCAGCCCATCTACTTTCTTGGGATCAAACCCAGGCTGGATTGTCAGTATATTTAGCAGCCTTAACCATTTGGCAACTTGTGGGCTGTTGTTACAGCAGAGAGGACTGATGGTGGCTAGCTACGTCTTCATACATCAGTTTGAAGAATGTGGATTTAAGAGGTTGGGTCTTATTTTTTAGTGGCATTATTTAGTATTATCATAAGCTCAGTATTTTTCTCAAGGCTAATTCGTGTCTGTGAAGAATTCAGTGACTACTGCTGCATTTCCCTGTTTTATCTTTAATTTTGGAAATGTTTCCAGCATTGTGACTATCATCTATTTGCATAGTTTACTCGTGGTTTTTCTTTTACTTAGATGAATTTATACAAAAGAAAAAAATATTTCATTCCTTGATGTGTTGGTTGATTAAATGGTCTCCAAAGCAGAAGGTCCTAATAGTTTTGTAAGTAAATGCAGTTAAGAGGTGTCATTGAAACCACCAAACTGGCAATACCAGTCTATACATCTGCTTTTAGTCTGACACTGGTATACCCAGTGTGACTGATAAATATATATGAATAGAATGATAGCTTTGAGGCCAGGGCTGTGGAGTCGGTAGGAAAAATGACCGACTCCGACTCCTGGAATTTTAAAGACTCCGACTCCTCCCTCATATTTATATATATATGTAAACATGTACACATGGGTTACAACTTATTTTTTTTAATATAAAAGAAGTAATAAATGCTATAGAAAAAAAATTGATGGCATAGCAAATTTTTTATATTAATTAGCATTTATTATGAAATGGAAAAACTGGCATTAATTATTTCTATGAAACAGTATAGCTTCGGCAAGATCTTTGTTGGAGGGCCATAGATCCGATTTGTAAACTTCAGAGCTGAGAAGAGTCTTTCCATACTAACTTAAGTAGGAAGAAGACTGTTACTGTTAAGGCTACTTCTTTTAACTTTTCAGGGCAGATTTTTGTAAGTTCTAAAAGAGGTTTGAAAAAAATATGATTGCAAGCGCAATCATATTTTTCTACTTCTTCAAAGGCCGTGTAGAAATCTTGTTTGTGTTTCTTCATTTTTATATTTCTAAAGCTCTTGGTTCTTTATTTTCATTCGCTTTGCCTTAGCCTTTTCAATATTATCCAAAAATATTTCTCAAAATCTAATTCATCACTGGAAGAGGATGATGGAGACTCAGTAACAATGTTTGCAGTTTGACTGTCCTGTTTCAAATTCTCCAATTGTTCTGAGAATAATTTCATTCTTATTGAAAGTTCGTTGGTGGATTTCTTTGCCTTTTTAATTTGTCTGTCATCCAAGAAAATTCGGTGTCCAAGAAAATTTAGATCTACATATATTGAACCCAGCAAGATCTCATTGTCTAGCAAACTAGTTTCTCTTTTCTTCATTGAAGAAATGATTCCCTCTGCAGTAAACCCTCCATTTCAGAAAGGACAAACATCCCATTTTTCCATTCTCGCCTCCTGTTAATGCTTCAGATGGCAGCCTTTTTGTGGCTATATATGATGTAAAGAGAAGAGTTTCCGATTTTGCAAGATCATCCACAGTCTTTCTGTTAGTGAAACGTTAGGGTTATCTACATCTTCTAAAACAGTTCTTAATTCTAAAACCCTCTTTATCATCAAATGTGTACTTCCTTATTGCGTTGCTTGATCAATAATTGCTCCTTTTCCTGCTTGCTTCCTAAGAATGACATCAATTTTGGGAGTTGCTGCTTACCTAAGTTTACCAGTGAGATTTGTAACTAAATGAGTCAGTTTAATCACTAATGGCAAATATCACATCCATCCTCCTCCCTTATATTTATTTATTAATATGTCAATAAAATATAAAATAACTATTTATTAATCTATATACTCCATAAATAAAAATAATAACTCAGCTTGTCAGTAATTTTTTTTTCAATTCATTTTAATTTCATGTCAAATTCAAACTTTCCAACAAAAACTGGTGTCGGAGTCGACCTGTTTTTAGCGACTCCAGCTCCGACTCCTTTTACCCCAAAATCTGCCCGACTCCACAGCCCTGTTTGAGGCACCATCGTCTCCATAGGAATGCCTCTTAGGAAATGGTAACACATAATATGCGTTTTCCAGAGTAGTTCTGGGTCTTTCTCTCGATGATATGATAGATAACAAAAATGGAGAACAGAGTTTCCGATCAACGGAATCTTTTTGTAAAAGTTTACTGTAAATCACTGTATAAAATGATTCAAGGGAAGAATTTTGTCACCATTCTGAATATCCTCATTCATAACCAAAGAGCCTTGTAAATTTGCCAAAGCATGATATTTTGGAAAATTTTTATATATTTCCTGTTAGTAATTGCTGCTGCGCCCCATACGGGACTTGCATACGTCAAAATAGGCCTTATCATTGATTTTATAGAGCAAAATCTTGTTTTTCATGAACAGGTCACTTTTTCTAGCAAAAAATGGCAGTAATTGGATTTGTCAACCTTTGCATTGGAAATTGTTTTTTGAATGCGAGGTTGCTAAGTTAATTTTGAATCAAGTATCACTCCTAGATACTTATAAGTTTAAACCCAAGGAATTGGTCTTCGGAATAATTGCAGGTTAGGTAAATTGGGGTGATTTCTTTGGATTGAACAAAGCGGCGGCACATTTTGCAACATTAATTTTGATTTTCCACAATCCAAGCCAGAGCTCTAGGCTTGAAAGATAATTCTGCAGTGCATAAATTACCATGGTGATGTTGGTATGTTGAGAGATGCTAATCAACATTAGGTATAAAGCTAGATCAACATTAGGTGATTTACGAATATCATTTACAAAAATGTTGAACATATGAGGTGAAAGTAAACTTCCCTGAGGGATGCTGGCATACATTGGGTGAGGAGTAGAGTATTCGTGATTAACTCGCACTCGAAAGGATCTACCTGCCAAGTACAAGTTAAGAATTTTAATGAGCTGTGCTGAAAAACCAAGCCGCATGAACTTGTAAATGTAGTCAGTTCGTATCTCGCAGCTACAAAGCCTACATTACAGTTGGTGGGAGGTCTTTTGAGGAGTTTCTTTGAGTATGTGTACTCCTGTTAAAAAAAAAAAAAAAAATGTTTTCTGAAGCGTTTCCTCTCATTGTTGTATTAATTCTTTAAATGTGACAATGGAAAACTACCCTTTAATTTCTCATTGCTTGTATTCTGACCATACATTCTATGATGAATATTGCTTGTATAGCTGCCTTCTATTGCCACCAAATGTTTTGCTCACTTGTTCAGATTTACTCTGCATATCAATTTACAGTTGGTCTGATGATTTAAAAAGTCAACTTTGAAATGTGAAACCTTCAGGATCATGGTGACTGATATGCTGTTTTAAAATTAAAAATAATCTTATATTTCATTTTTGTAACTTGAATTATTGTAAAATGTCTTTAATAAAGGACTAGATACGTTTTTATGACTTGAAAATTTAATGATTCCTAAAGGCTTAATTTCTGTGTCAGGCATTTTGTGTTTCACTAAATTATTTAAATGAGGATAGTGGGATCAGAAATTTTAATTTTGTATTCTCACCAATTTTTGGAATTTTATCTAACCATTTTAACATCTTGAAAAACTTTACTGTTATCCCAGTTACCAACTAAAAATTTAAATATATGATTACAGAGTTCATCTACATTGTTTTAAAACATTGTAAGCATATAGTAGAAGATATATGTAATATATTGCTTAAGTAAACAATAAGCATATACGAAAAATAAATTTATTATCCCATATGTTTTGTTGTTATGATGACTGAATTGAAGAAAATTTCAATTTAAAAGAACATTATTGTGTACTTAACTACATTATTTTTTTTTTTCGCTTTAGACTAAATTTAATTCTGAAAAGAAAGAAGCATTTGGAATAGGAAAATCAAATACATATAAAAGTGCTAAGAGGAAGAAGTTTCAACAAAACAAGAATGTTAATGCAGGCTATAACAAAAAATGGAACATACTTGGGAAAGATCAAGCTGAAACACCAAAAGAAGGAAGCAATAAAAGGAAAAATGAAAGTTCTGAAGGTACTGGACCTAACAAAAAGGCTAAAAAAAGCAGTATGACATTGAAAGATAGGAAAAAGTATCGTTTATCAAAAAAAGGAAAATTAGAAACTTTTGAAATTGGACAGACTCTAAAAATTTTATGGGAAGAATTACGAAGGTAATTAAGTTTGTTATTATTTTTAAGTTGAATGCTCTGTTGTTAATTTTTTGCTTGTATAAAAGCCTGGGAATTTTTTGCTTACATGGAAAACCTTAGAATATAAATTGCAAATCTTTCATTAGCATTCTGTAATATATGAATTATCCAATAGAACTCTGGTGTGTTATTCATTGTCCTTTGCCACCAAAACTCAAAGACTAGCTGCATGCATATGGATCCTGTGTTTATGACTTCTGCTTACTGTAAACTATGTCTTCACGCGTCTATCATGTCGTTATATGTTCACAACCTTTTGTAAATAAATTGTAATTAGTTTGGATTTACATTCTTTGCAGTTCTTATTTACAATACTTTTGTGATATGATAATAGTGAGTGGCTTAGAATGTAGGACATTATTTTGGCATACTTTGATATACTTTGAGTTCCATTCAATTAATGGGCGTTATTTTCTTTTGGACTATTCCCTTATCAGTGAAATCAACTCTTCATCATGCTTTACACTTGCTAGTTTTTGAAAATGAGATGGGTTTTTAGTTTAGATTACTTTGCAGTTAATCAGAACTGTAGTATGTAGGATTCAGAAAATTCTCACTAATGTTATAAAATGGTGTTCTACTGCAGATGATAAATGTTTGAAGAATCAAAGAAGGAATTAATTGAGTACATAGGCTGTATGACTTTACCTCCACATTGTCTAAGAAATTAAAAATTTACTTCAAAAGAGGAGTTCATCAAACGGGGTAAAAATTTTGAAAGCCAAATTAAATGGTTTAACACGTTGACTGCCCAACACGAGATAACTCATATTAGTGCTCTTCTTCAGGACGCCAAATACGAGTTATCTCGTAGTTTCTTGCCACTTTTGTGCCAATAAGATGTCACTTAGTGCATGTTTTAGCTGTACCTAGGCAAAAAGTCGAAGCATGTCTCTACGAATCAACTCGTAGTGGGTTTCTGAGAAGAGCTTTGTCTAACAAAAGCCAACTGCGAAATAATTCGTAGGAGCTTTTTTCTCCAAAACAAAAAATCCTGTAAACTTTTTAATAATTGTTATGAATCATAATTGGTATTTTTAATAATATAATATTAAATCAATTTGTCTTCTCGGACTGGAAACGAAGTAAAAACAAAGTAGTGTGAAAAAAGGTAAAAACATTGAAGGACTTCATTTAAATTTTGCATTGAAACTTAAAGACCAGAATCAATTTAGAAGGGGTAATCAACAACATTTTGAATAGAAAATAAAAGTGAAAAACTCCTTGATCAGTGATCATCTTTATGTGGTGTAAAAAACACAAGAACAGAACTGCCTGAGAGGGTCGGTGACTTAACCTCACAAATGCTTTGGGTCTGGGAAGATGGAGGGAAGAACCTGTTAAGCGAGTTGGATAAGAGAGTCGGTACTCAGCTGACTGAGGAGAATGCAGTCAAATTTTGTCCACAACATTAGTAGTTTTAAAAAGTTGAGATAAAATCACCTTTTGAGGTATGAAAATTAAATACCTATCCTTTCTAGGAAGGGACAAAGAAGAAATTATCAATTAAGTGTAGTTATATGCTACTGTGAAAGGCTCTTTATTAAAAGAGCATAAAACGTGTTCCAGCAGTCAATGCATTTTGTATTTGAGGCTCGGTGGCGGGAGGGAAAAGAACAAGGAGTAGGGATTCACAAGGGCCTCGTGTTTTCATACTTTCATCTTTTAAATGGATTGCTGGACATTCTGCATATAGAACCATATGCAATCTCTTTTTAGAGGATGCAACTGCAGGGTCATAAACAGGCAAGGCATATAACACTGAGTTTCCGGCATTAATGAATCTTTAATAAATTGTTCGAAAGTTGCTGCATTAAGTGAGAGATGGGTAGAATTTGAGTATCACTATGAATATTCTCATTCCTTACAAACCATGGAACATTCAGCATTTGCTCTAGCATTTTAGATTGAAAAATTTGGGTGTTTCCTGTTTTGGGTATGTTTTCTAATAAACCTCCTAGGTATTTGTAATTTGGAATCCAGGGAATTGGTTCACTGAATTTATATCGATGAGAAGAGTGGTTCATTATTTTTCTTTGAATCGGTACAGAATATGCTAGATTCTTTAAATGCAATCCATAAGGATTTTAAGAGCACATTAAACTGTTCTTTACAGTGTAATTATCAGATATCGCACACTATACAAACAGAATTATTGCGATCATATAAGAATGTAATTTATGATTGTCTCATTGACTTTTGACTTTGAAGATCTCCATTATGACTATGCATTTCATACAGACTCCATCTACAGTGGATTATGTGTAGTTTCTATGGAAATTCCTGTAAAACATTGAAACTGGGAAAATATGGGGAAAAAAAAAAAAAAAAAAAAAAAAAAACTAGACTTTACTGAAAGGGTAGCAAAGGAAGTGGTATTATAAAGCATTTTGTTAGTTATGTATATTTCTCGTCTCTATCTAGAATTTAATTTTTTTATTTAAATGTAGAAATCGGAACCCCAAAGCCTCAAAGACATATGGTTTATGGATTCTAATTTTCTTTATGATTATTTATAATTTTGAAATACTTGCTTCAATAATACATGAGTTGATACTTCAATAATACTTCTACATGAGTAATAAAAGGAAAATTTCTAATTAAATCTGCATTTAATTTATGAAAAGTATTTTTAATTGTTCAGTTTTTTTTTTCATTTTTGGATTGTAGTGTAATTAAATTAGTTATATTTAATGGTAAATTACAAATTAACTAATATTTAATTAAAAATTGAGTCTTACATGCACATTTTCAAAGTTATAAAAATGTCATTTGCATGTTGACTACTGACTAGTTTTAATATCTGTGTAAAAGTTGTAACTTTCACATGTGTAAACATACAAAATAAGCAACACTTTATCGTTGAAAGCTAACGAGGGCAGAGCATGAGGAGTCAATGCCATTGAGAGTAGTTAGTTTTTCTTTGCCCTTTTACTGTCTGCTTTCAAAATGATCTTAATGATTTTTTATCTGGATGATTCCACTCTAAAGACTTTTGATTTTAAATGATATGTATTAAAGATATTTTAGAACCTGTGACATGAGCATTTCGAGTTTCATGAAATGCTAATCCATTTTGTAGGACACTTTCTGTGACTGTTAAGCACAAATGGCTTAATTAAGATAAAATGACATGCCGAACAAGTATTAATTTAGAAGTCAAATAACAAAAATCAGCATTATAATTACAAATTTTTAGAGGACTAGTTTTGACAGTTTTACCGAACCATCATCCTCAACTGCCGAAGTGCAAAGTTGCGAAGCAGCTGAGGGTGATGGTACAGTAAAATCATTGAAACTAGTCCTGTGAAAATTTGCAAATATAATGCTGATTTTTGTTGTTTGACTTCTAAATTAATACAAATGGCTTGCATTAAAGATCATAATTAACTGCACAATTATCCAAATTCATAAGAGGATTGATTAAAGAATCTGAAAAATTTCTAAAGGTCTGTTCACACTAGGGTTTATCTAAATTAATTGAGACATCTGGCACAGCTGATATTGCTCCCTGATATTAGCTCCTTGATGATTAGCTCAAGCAAGCCTGAGTTTGAAAAGCTCTTAAGAGGCTAATTGAGTTATTTAGTACAGAAACCAAAGTGAATTAAAAAAAAAAAAAAAAAATCTACCTTTGCTAATTGTTTGAAAATAACCATATAAGAAGTGCAATTACATTTCTTATTTTGTTTTTGCTGTCTTCAAATACCTTTTGAACTAAGTTGATTGTAGGGGACTTCCCTTATGAGCATATTTTTTGTTCCAAATAATGTAATTAGGAAACATTTTGTTACATAAATTATAAATACATAGCATAAATTATAAAAAATAAGTAACTCAAATAAAAAATTGGGTTATGTTATAGATCGTAAAATATTTTTAAATAATGTCACCATATAATATACATATTTATGTCACCATATAATATACATATTTAAATTTATTATGTTGTTAATAATCAGAAACTGCATCTAAAGCCCCGTTCACATGCAAGGCTCTTTCGCACAGCCACCATTTGTATTAGGGACAAACGGTGATATGAAGCAATTTCGCCTTCAGGATGGGTTCAGATGCACATTGTCTTCCATCCCTTAATCCATAAGCCACTGCGAGCAATGAATGATGTCATAAACGCGAATCAGATTGGCGGATGTCTAACATTTACTTACATCTTTTTTGACATTGCTTACTATTGCTATAGAACACTATTGGAGTTTAACTCTTTAATTAATTAAAATACACCTAAATTAATTTAAAATGCAATGTATATACGAGACCAAATGATTAAAAGAAGAAAAGAAACCACATATGCTGCTGAGCGGTTTTAAATAAAATGTTTTGTGGCTACTAAAATTTCAAACAATGCTTTTTGAAAAAATGAATAGAACGACAAATTAATAGCATTAATATTAATTATAAATGTTTTAATATTGATTATAAATGTTTTAGAAAATATATTATAATTAATTCATCTGTTAAAATTGTTTTGAACATGTTTTACGAAGATTTTAAATAAAAGCTTGTAATTTATGCTTTAATTTTAAAATTTAATTAAAAATAAATAATGATATTTAATTTAATTTTAAATTAAAGCTTGCAATTTTATTAACCAATTGAATAGCATTAGCCTTTATTTTATATATATGAAATGAAATTCAGTGATAAAATTTTTAAGAAATTTGAAATGATTTAATGACCGTACAGACAGCTTATATTCTTTAAACTGCATTTTCTTAATTTGCATTTCTTTGATAAATCCAATCCTTTTATTTAAATTCCTAAAACTTATATAGATCTGGTCTAAATTATTTAATATTTTACCTCTTAATTAAAATTATATACTTTATAGAAACAAGAATGGGTTTTACTGAAAAGAAAAATTATTCGTGGAAATATAAATATTAACTTATAAAAATTATAAGTGGAAATGTGATTGAGATCATATTTGTTTCAAAGTTTTTGCATAAAAATGTGTTTTTATTTTTTTTTCAGAAACTTATTCATTAATTGCAAACTTGATCCTTAAAGTTATTAAGAACTTTCTAATAAATACAATAAGAAAATCATTGAAAATTGTAGGAGAAGAATAACATTTTGTTAATCTTTTCATCCAAAAATTAATAAATAAATTAAAAAAAAAAAAAAAAAAAACTGGCAAATTTTTTTGTTCTCAGCTTAAAATTATTTTGTCTTACAAAATCATTTAATAGCATTCATAAAAGTAGATAAAATTTCTTAAATAAAAAATTCGTTCAAAGGGTACTGAGTCCCCTTGTCGAGTTGAAGCCGATATGTGCGTCTTTAGTTTTAATTTGAATGGTATTGCTGGAATACCCAGCATCAGATAACATTGTCCGTACTTGTTTACAAATTTCCGTATTTCGTAGTGTTCTATGTAATTTATTTAGATGATATTGCATCCTCAGAAGATATCTACCAATGCGATTGTTTCGCTGACAGTCCAGCAAGCAGTCAGTTTCACGTCAGCCATGTTGTTTGTTAAAATTAAGTGAATCGCACAGTGCAGTATGAGAAATCTCCCCATTTCCCTTGCTCCCGAAAGGTAGGAAAGTTCTACCTCCAATTCGGAGAAGCAGTTAATGCTTGTTGCCGTGTGAATGGGACACTTTTGGAAGAACCAGTTTTCGCTATCGGTCGAATCTGCTCTTGTGAACGGGGCTTAACTGGTTACAGATTAACTTAACTAAAATGTTGAAAATATGTACATGAAATAATTATTTTTTTAAATATCAGAGTAGATGTCATAAACCATAGATAGTTCTTAACACAATTTAAATTCGTTTTTATTCTTATTAAATGAAAACTCGTTCATATTTTCAGTGCATGTTTTATGTATAAGCTAAACAAGCTATAGCTTAGGGTGCCCTCTCTTTCTTGGGAACCCCCGAAAAAATTAAAATATAGTATAACAAACTTATAAAGGGCCCCTTATCTCAAATAGTTTATCAAGTGTAAATCTGGCTCTGCATATTTTCTATCTGTTAAAGTTATTTCATAGCAGTTAAAATACTTATTCTATATTTACTCTTTTGTAATTTTTTACCTTTCTATTCTAGAGATGACTGCAAACCTGAAAGAAAAATTCAACTAATAAAGCAAGTCTGTGAATTACTAAAAGGTCGAGTGAAAGAGGTAATATTTTGTTATCATTAGAAGTGCTTATAGATGAATAAATTCAAATGTTATTCTAACTTTAAATATATGGCAAAAATCTTAAGAACTATAGTTTAAAGTATATGTCTTTGTTTAAATATGTTAAGATTTATTTTAAAACATATTGTTTTAAAATTGAACAAAATTCAGTTTTAAAAGAATGCAAATTTAAAGTTGATTGATGCAAGTTTTTTTTTTTTTTTTTTTTTTTTTTTTTTTCAAAGAGAAAAATTAATCTCTGTCATTTTTTGGAAATAACCATTTAAATAGGTAAACAGTAATAAAGGAAACAACAATTTTTAGTGCTATCTATCTGGTGAAACAAAAATAAAAATATGAAAATAAAATTAAGTTGATGAGAAAGATATAATCCTTTCCATACATCATTGGAATTTCAAACTAGATTAAAATAAAAATTATTAAATAAAGTTAAATTTTGGTTAATGTGGAAAATGTTTTAAAAAAATCTACTTCAGAAATTCTTGGATTTTTGTAGAAAGAAAATTTTTGCGGATGATTAGCTTAACCTATTTTGACACAGGATTCACATTCCTTGATTATTGAAATTCTAATGCTTTCTTACTTTTACCGAGATACATTAAATCACAGTTGGAAGATACATTATAAATTATCTCTGAGAATTAAAATGTGAAATAAGACCTTTTAAGGATTGAACAATTTATAAATATTAATAGCAGAAGAAACTTGGAGAGAGTGGAAATTATTCTGTTACTATATAGTCTGACTGAAAAATTTAAGACTGATTTTTTTAAATTCAAAGTACTCTGTAGGCCATATATTATCTCCCTTTTAACCTTTTGAGATTGGGGATTTGACTCCTGTAAGAGCCTTAAAAAGTTGGTATTTTCATACCTTATGCTTTTGCCTTTTTAAGTAGTCCGTTGCTGTTTACAACAGTGGCACTTTTAGGTAGTTTGATTCATCCTGAGAGAAAGATAATTTTATTTGTGCTTGAGCTCATTTTTCCATGTTAAAGTGTTATATTTTTTCCACTTATTTATGGCAGTAATTGCTCAGTCTGTTTTGCCTCCCGCTCTTCTTTCACCATTTTAGATCCTCCTCCTCCTTTCTTTTCCAAAAGATGATTTTTGACATATTTTATAAATAAAACAGCAAGAAGTATTCCACCCCCTGAAAACTTGGAATCTCTGATGTATGAAACCCTCTGACTATCAGTTTAATATCTGAGTTAAGGTTTCTAGCACAATATTTTGTATTAGAAGGTATTCTTTTTACTGATGAAAAACTTTGATTTACAAATTAATGTTCATTTATGTATTTAGATGTACAAACTAACAATAGCAAGCTAACTAAAGCAGTATGCTATTTTTCAAAATGTAACAACAGTATTTACTGTGTGAAGAACTACATTATTATTTTCTTTTTTTGGATTTATTTTGGAACACAGTATTTAAAAAAAAGGGGGGAAGAAGATATGTTTCTTTAGAGTGTGCATAAGAAAAACTGCAAAATGCATTTTGGAGCAAAGAACCAAAGTTTTTGAGAAAATAGAAAGATATAAATTTAAGTTTGCAAGCTGTAGTAAAAGAAAATACAAAAGTATTATGCTTATATATGAATTTTGCATCCATTCTAGAATTTAAAGGTGAAAGAAATTTTATTTAAATAAATTCAGAGAAGTGCAAGCATTTTTGATTTAAATAAAAGCCTGTTAATAAAACTATGGAAACATATTTCATAATCATAATTTTGAATGCTCTGCTTTCTGAAATTGTTAAAATGATATTTTTGTATTTTGTTAATGTAACTTGCGTAGTAAAACTATGGAAACATATTCGATAATCATAATTTTGATTAGTTTGCTTTCTAAAATTATTAGAATGATATTTTGTTAATGTAACTTGTTTAAGTTTCATCCAGATGTGTATAAGCAATTAAATTAAATTTTGTTCCTAAATGCTAAACAGCATTATCTTTTCTTTTCTTTTTATGTACAGTTTACATTTGCTCATGATACTGTTCGGGTCCTTGAATGTGTGTTTGCACTAGGAGCTGAAACTTATCGTTCTCTTTTATTTGAAGAATTAAAAGGTAATATTTTTTCATAGTTTTATGAGAACTTCTATGCAAGCTGTGACTGCTTAAATTAAAAATTATGCAAAAATCCTACGTGATGAAAAAATATTTGCAGTTTTTATCTTATTCCATCTTGTGCGTCACTCACTCGCTGCAGAATTTTTGAAAATATAATTGTTTCTTTTATTCTTTTTAATTCTTTAATTTTTAATTTTTATTTATTTATTTTAGTGTTAGTGTATTTAAAAAATGAATTCTTTATGAATATTTTGTATATTCATTATTCTGTGCTTACATATTTTCTTGTTGACTATTTTAGACAAGTAAAAATTATGACCAAAGAGATAATCACTACATGATATAAAACAAAGTCGCTTTCTCTGTCCCTATATCCCTATGTATGCTTAAATCTTTAAAACTACGCAACGGATTTTGATGCAGTTTTTTTTTTTTTTTTAATAGATAGAGTGATTGAAGAGGAAGGTTTATATGTCTAATAACATCCATTAAATAGTGGAGAAATACTGTTATTTTTGAGGTTTCTAATGTGATGTCGTAAATTTCTAATGTGATGTCGTACATTTTTTCGCTTACATTGCAAATGCAGGCTGAACCCTACGAGATTTATCAAAATAATGTACTAAGTATTGTACACATTGAAAAGGTCTACAGATTTAAAAATTGCAGGACGTAGCGTTTGCGGCGGTACTGGCCGGCCGGGGCGGCGGGAGCGTGCCTATAAATAGCACGTCGGAGGCCGCGGTTCTCCCTATAGCAGTTTGAATTTAGCAGCGATCGGACGCATTTATTATCGGAGCTCTCTAGCGAGGAAAATAACAATATACTTAATAAAAATGTGCTTTTCAGCGCGACAACGTATCAGTTATTTACTTCATAATAACGACAACGTATCAGTTATAAGTAAGTTACAATAAATAATTGTATGATAGTAGTTTTAAAATATAAATGATATTCTATTCTAAGGTAGATAATTTTTAAATTCGCACTTATAGTAATTATAAGTACATAAGGTTAGATAAGATTAGATTAAATAAAACCATAATTTATGGATTGGAATTTTTTATTAAGATCTTGGTTAAAATTTAGAGTTAAATCAATTTAATATTAGGGAAATTATTTTCAAAAATCGTAATTTAAGGCGAGGTATGCAAGTTCAGAAAAAGAACTTAATAAAATACGTATCTTTTGTTGTTGATGATTGTTGATTATCTTTTGTTTTTAGTCGCACGAATAGCAAATTATTTTTTAAGTATTTTTAATTTAATTAAAATCGTAGTTTAAGTTGAGGTATTTCAGTTAAAAAAAAGAACTGAATAGAATAGGTATCTTTTGTTTTTTTATGATTGTTGATTATCTTTTGTTTCTAAATGGTGAGTATGTAGATATTTTTTACTGTGGCACATACTAATAATATGGCAATTTGTTCATAGGTAATCATACATATAGAACTGAGTAAATTTTTTACAGAAATTATAAAGTCATGTCTAGAAGACGTCGTCGTTCGAACATAGGTCGTAGTACAGTGAATGCCAGAACAGTACGTTCAGCAAGAGATGAAGAATTGTTTTACTCCAAATTTAACGCGTGCGGGCCACGGTCAGTAATGAATAAATCAAAACTACTGGATCGATTTTAATCATTTTTTCAGTGAGTAACATAGGCTATATATAGGCTATATATTTTATACCCGTGCAAAGCCGGAGCGTGTCGCTAGTTAGCAATAAAGTGGATAACTTAGCACCTATTGAAATTGGTGACAAGTAAAAATTGTCACCAATTATCACAAAAAATGAAGCAACTTAAACAACTTACATTGAAAGAAATGTTTAAAAAGGTACACAAATAAATATTAAGATTTTTTTTTTTTTTTTTTTGTAAATTTTACCCTTTAGGTCATAAATATTTCGTTATTTTATAAATCACGATTTCATATTTTATAATTTCTACATGCCATCGTACTACAAACTGATGATCTAATATCTGGAAAAATCTCAAATTCGGAATCGCCGAAGTGCTGACAGGTCCGGATTTCGGACTTTGTACTGCATAACTAAAAGTGAGCCCCTAAATGTTATGGATATAGATTATATCAAGAATTTCACACATATAGTTAAATGAAATCGTTAAAAAGTAAAACAAAATACATGCATTTCGTACTGCTATATTTAGTTGTTTCAAGACTTATTTACAAACAATTTGTTGCAAGCAGAGTATTAAGAAAAGATAGATAATGAATTTAAGAGAGATAATTAAACATTGATGCAGCTTAAAGATAACAGTTATTTCATTTGCTTCTTATTTCAGCTCTTTGTAATATAAACGTGAAAAAAAAATTTTTTTTTTTGAGAGTAAATTGATAATAAAGAAAGCATTTTAAAAACTCTTAGCAAATTCAACAGAAAAATTGAATGTAAAAGAAATAATAAGCATTGCTTTTACAACAGCAACAAAATAGTCTGGAAACGAGGTGGCATCATCTAGTATAAAAGTGATTAACTAACTAATGAAATTTGGTAAATCACCAGTTGGGACAATACCAAAAATTCATTAGAGCAAATAGCAAGTAGTTCATTTCTTTTTGACATTTTTATGTTTGAAGTATATATAGTGAATTATTCTTATAAAGAAATATATATTTAAGTATAATTCTGTATGAAAAAAGATCAAAAGCATAAGAAAATTAGATTTTATATTTTTTCAAAGCTTTGTTTTACGATGTTTTGTTTTAATACTTTAAGATGTTCTCATTTGTTTTAGTATTCTATTGAATTATAGAGTCATGAATTTCATCTCTGTTGTACAGTTTATTATTTTAAATCAGTTTTTATTCTGTTATTACAGGAAAAGCATGAGTTAATTTACAACTTACTCTTCTATCGTAGTAAAAATTGTATAACTTTTAATTTAAGTCATAATAAAAATTTAAATTCCAACTACTGTAATTTTGTTTGATTAAAACAGCAGAAAGTTCTCATAAGTCTGATGATTTTTGGCAAACTGTTTATTAAGCAAATGTTTAAAAATTGATAATCAAAACAACATGATAGTTTGTTTCAATAATGCATTAAAAAAAGCCTGTTACCAATAATGTCCCTATATAATTAGCAGTCACCAAAGCCCCATCTGTTTACTCTCATACGAAGTACAGTTTTGGTGCAAAGTTAACTCAGCCTTTTCACTTTTGCATATCCTCCCCTTCTAGCCAAGAAGCAGCAGAAAATATCTTCCAAGATCAACATTTCTTTTTGCTTTGGCATCATTTGCTATATGTTACTATTTTTTAATATGAAATTTTTGTGCTCTTATTGATGCAGATTTCACTGTTGACATTTGAGAAGCTGATTTTAGGCAATGGCAGTTTTTAAATTGGAGGATTTTCAGTCTGCTGCATTTTCTGTGCATGGCATGAACATATTTAATTTGTAGTATATTATAAATAAAAATATTTAATATCATTTTTTTTAAAACTTTTGGGACATTTTGCCCATAATAGTTAGTTTACATGTAATAGATATAAAAAGCGTGGGTTCTAAATGCACTTAGTTGGTAAAAGCCAAAATGTGTTACTTATGTTAGGAAATAAAGTTGATGCATTTTTACTAATGCAAGCAGTGCTTTTCAGGCAGTTTAAAGTAAACTAGAACATACTAAAAAACAGGATTTATTATTACAGTTGCTGGTTAACCACATATTTAAACTATAGTTTCAGTCTGAGAAGGTTACACTTTCAAAATTCCTTTTCTTTCTTCTGTGTGTAGTTGTATATAAATGTATAAAATCTAAGTAAATAGATTTTAAGACTTTTCTAAAAAGCTGTTACTGTTAAAGAAGTTGAAAAAGTCAGTCACTATGACAAAAGAATTGCACAAAAGGAAATTCTTTTAACTGCTGTTAATGTTTTTGCCATTAAAATTTAGAATTATAGTAATAATGTCTGAAAAAAACTTTTAGATTTTTAATGTTATTTATTACACATTTATGTTTACCTTAGAGCACAAAATTTTGATGTGCATCCATGAAAACATTGATTTATTTAAATAAAACTAAGCATGTAACTTGTTTCATTTATTCTATTCTGCCTCTGCTTTGTTTATCTTGAATTGTTTCTTTTATTTAGTTTGCTTTAGTCTTTATGTTTACATTAACAGAACAACTCTCCCGATTTAAGCGGGAGACTCCCGCTTTTCGACCACTTTCCCGCCAACCCGATTTACAATATATTTCTCCCGACTTTTTCTTATTCTTAAAATTTCTCACGACTTTTATGCAACTTGGCTTAATACTTTGTTATATGAATAAAAACAAAGTGCTTTTGGATGTCTAAAAGCAATTGAATTATTCTACATTATATCTAAAACAAAACCTTGCTAATCAGATAGCTTCTGCTTTGTGAGTGAGAGCATTATACGTATCCAGAAACGTCGTTCTCCAGTTCTCCAATGGGTTTCGAGCTCCACTGCGTGTCAGCTGGCATATATTAGCCAATGAGGACAAAGTAAGTTGTTATTTGGACGTGCTTTATTTTTTTTTTTTTTTTTTTTTTTTTTTTTTTGTTTTTTTTTTTTTTTTTTTTTTTTTTTTTTTATTTCTTTCATTTTGTCCAGAGTTGTGTGAGTACACGTGCTTTAGGGAAATAGTTTTAGAAATTATCATCTTTTGTTACGTCTGTGAGAAAGTGAAATACTCGTGTACGTTTCAAAAATCGTACACAGTTGACTTTCATTCCATTATTTCCTCAAAGAAATGTAATAAATTTGCGATGTGTACCACCCGTCGTTGCGATTTTTCGATTTCGCATGGTGGAAGGGTGGATGTTCTCAAACATGTACGTACGCAAAAACACAAGGATAACATGAGTTGTTTTTAAAAAAACGGAAAATTAAATTTTTCTTCGGAAACAAAGGACCAAAAAGTTATTAATGCAGAATGTCTGTTCTCTGCCTTTTTACTGGAGCACATCCTGCCACTGAATGCATCGGATCACGCTGCAGCTTTATTTAGAAAAATGTTTCCCGATAGTGAAATCGCTAAAAAATACTCAAGGTGCAAGAATCAAAACAGGATCAATTGTTAAAGAAATGGGTTTGAAAAATAAATCTTCAGTTATTGATAGCATTAAAACAGCTCCTTTCTGCCTCTCTACGGATGGAAGTAATAATACCGATTCAAAACTGTATCCAATTGTTGTTTCTTTTTTTGATCCAGAGTCTTCAGAAATTGAGTGCAGTTTACTTTATGTTCCCACTTTAGAAGGACATTTGACAGGCTTTAATATAGCACAGCTAATTATTAAAACTTTAAAAGAAAACTGCAGGCACTCTGGATAATTGCTTAGCACTTGGTGCCGATAATGCACCAGTATTTGTAGGCTCGGAAGGCTGGTGTTGCAGGCATCTTAAGAAAGGAAAATTCAGATTATGAGGTGCACCTGTCACCTCTTAAATTTAGCAGCTGAAAAAGGGGCAGCTTCTTTACCAATAAATGTGGATGAACACATCGTTGATATTTATTATTATCTTGAAAGGAGTTCTAAAAGGAAGGAAAAATTGAAACAATCCATCCAAGTCTTCATTCAAGTTTTCTAATTGTAACAGCTGCATAACAGCAGTTTACAATTAGAAAACTTGGATGAAGTTATAAAATCAGCTAGGATTGACACCCAGTGGAGTTTTTATTGGAAAACTGAAAGGTGCTGATGGAAATCTGTAAAATATAGTGAACTGTCTAGAATTATGTTGGCCATCTTGACAGTTCCCTTATAGTAATGCAGAGTGTGAGAGGATTTCTCAGTGTTGTTGCGAAAACGAGACTAAATTTAGGATCTAATATTAGTGATGACACATTAGAAAAACTTTTATTAGCGAAAACAGGCCTAGGTGGCAATTGCTATGAACAAAATTATGAAGTTTCTGTTCTTAAAGAAAGCAAAATCTGCCACTGTTTATAACATTTGTACAAAAACTAAAGTGTCTTTTTTTTTTTTTTTCCTTAAACGATGCAAGTAATAAAAATGTTTTTTATGTGTAAGGTATTTTTTTGTTGCTTGCATTTAAGAATTAGTTACTATTTAAAGTTAATTCATTATTAAAAACTATACTTTTATCATTTAAAAAGTCTTTTTAACATTGTGAAAAATCTCCTGATTTTTGAGTGTCATAGGTTGGCAAGTATGCATTAAAAAATGTGTTTTCAGAATGTATCATGCCTAATTATGGCATCTAAATTGGGGAGGGGATTGAAAATGTTCTTTCGATTAAAGATAAGCTAACTGCTATCAATAATCTAAACACAGATGAATTTATTTCCCAATGTATTAATTGCGGTTACTGCATTTTTTCTTGTATGTTTTGCTGAAAATTGTAATTGAATGAAAAAAAAATAAGATGTTGGAATATAAATTTTTGTTTAGTTAAAGTGAGTAACCAAGAACACATGGTTTGCTTTTATTCTCTGAGCAGCTCGAGTTTTTGGATCTCTCATGAAGACTTGTAATCAAAGAGCCTTTATTAGCTAAATTTGTATATTTACTTACTTTAGGCTCTATTTTCATAAACTTACATTCATTAAGATGACATGTATATTAATAAAGAAAGTAAGAAAGCAAAATATTATGAATTGTAAGTTAATATATATATATATATACACACACACCATATGACAAAAAATCTCATGACAGGTTAAAGCCAACCATGGCACTCAGAGGATTAATAGATACCTTTATAAAGAAGTATGAAACCATTCTGATCTCATATAAATTGAATAATCAAGATTTTGTTATATTTTTATGTGATTGAATTTTTTAGTCATGATGATTTTAATTTGTTTAAGATGATATCATTCCTTTGGCAAAGTCTAAATATGGAAGATTTTTGCTATTGAAAGTATTAAAATATGGGTGAGTTTCTTTTTATGCTTCTTTTCTCTGTTTTATATTGTTGTAGTTCTAATTTATTTTGTATTTGCAAATAATATGCTGTAAAATTTTAAATTCATTGGCTCCTGAAAAAGAGGGTTTGGTTTATGTGATTATGGAAAATCCTCGAAGGCTCTCTGCCTAAGGGAGAGGAATGCCTTTGGGATGGACTTTCTAAGGGAAACTGGCGTATCCATGTTACACATGGCAAAAAATGGCGAAAACGCCAGCCTGTTCACGGGATTGGAATTTCGGACCAAACTACCAGTGTTCAGCAACTTCACCACTCTACTGCTAATGGGCCCTGAAAAAGAGGGACATGTGTCCAGTTGTCTCGAAATTTATAGAATTTTATTCAATATATAAGGTAAACTAAGGTTGCTGTTTTACCTAATTTTAAATTTTACATTGGCATGCTTATTTTCCAGTTGGATGCTTGAATAGTTATTTCATGGAATAAATATATGAACCAAGTAAAGAAAATTAAAGTTTATAGGAATAAATAGGAGAATATGAAAACAGCCCATTTAAAGACCTACTGAATGCCATAAGTTTTATAATACATAATTTTGCACGTTTGAAAATGTGCGTACAGTTTAGCAATTTAGAAACATATAATCTTTAACATTTGTATATTGACCATATTAGTCATTAAAATATTTGGTTATAATCAATAAAAGATTACTTGTTTTGTATAATATTTGAAAATGGAAAATGGTTGGCCACATGGATGTTTTATGCATTTAAGTTCTGTAGATATTATCTCCTTAGAAAGTACTTAACAAAGGCAGCTTTTCAAGCAGCTGTATACCATGTGTTATATTGTAGCAATTATCTGTTAATCTCTCATCATTAATGTTTGAATAACAGCTTTAGTAATTGGAAAATTTATTACACGTAAATGTGACTGTTCTATTTTAAAGCAGTGGTCATAAGCTTAAATTGCGTGCTGGTCGAATGCACAATCTGAAAGTAGCTGATGTACCAGAATTTTGTTTTTAAAGAAAATGACAAATTTTGCTAACAAAGGGTATTTGAAATGTATTTTAGATTTTGTTTATTAAATATTTATCAAAACTTACATGTGCAATAATAATTTTGCAAAGGGAAAAATTATTGTCTGACTTCAAGTAATTAAAATCAAGGAGTCTTGGCAACACTGTATTTGTAACAAATATGTAACTGAAATATCTTTGCAGGCTGCATAAAATTGCTTCATGGACTGCATGCATTCAAGGGCCTCCAGTTTAAGAGCACTGTTTTAAAGGACTCTATTTTTAATTTCTTCCTTCCTTTTAATCGTTCCTTCATCTTTCCATCCCCCTTTTTTTGCTTTTGTTTTGTTTCGTTTGGTGGTTTGTTTGAGGAATATATCTAATATCAGAAATTGTTAATTTACTATAAAAATTACACCAAACTCTTGCATTTGTTAGATATTGTAAAATGCAGCATTTTAGGTTGAATATTTTCAAGAATTTAATATTAAAAACAATTACAGCTAAAAAGAGAATTTGTGGGTTCATTGCAATTGCAAGATCAAAATAGAGATTACTTTAAGTTTCTGTAAAATTTAAGATATTTTATTTCTCAATATGTAATGTATTTTCTCCCTCTTTAGCGCATGCCATTGTGGTGTAATTAGAAGCATGTCCGGTTAGCAGTCAAAAGTTCAGAGTTTGAGTCTCAGCTAGGGCACTGCACAATTTTCACATTTTAGGAATACAGATGTAAAGGGATAAACAATAAATAATTAAATATATTTTAAGATAATAGATACATTTAAAATATTATAAGCTCAGGTCTCATGACAATAACATTCTCATAAACCAAAATCAGTTTTTGATAATCGGGATTATTTTCATTAAATTTTTGGAAATAGCCACATTAAGTCTGCATTTTTGTGACTCTTCTATTATCTTCATAATGGAAAAACTGCATTGGGATTGTATAGGCTACCAAACATGAATGCAAACTTTTAACATTTTTAGGTGTTTGGAGGGGGCACTTGTTATCGAAAGTCATTGTCTGCAAATTTGAGTGAAAAATGAACTTGCTCTCCGTGCTATATGTTTCCTTTTGGTATACATGTTACTGCTACATTTTATATAAATTATTTCATTGTCAGTGACTGCAAATATTTCAAGTGCACTAACAGTCACTTTTAGCATTATATACTCTTGTCATGTACTTAAGGGAATTTATTAATTAACTAATTTTGTGATGCAGCTGATCACTAAAAAGAATGTTTGTTTAGTATGTAAATAGTGTATAGCAAGTTTTCTTAGTTTGGCAAAAATTTAATTTGAAAGTTTCTGAAGAAAACAGTGTCTATTATAGTTATAATAGTAGTGCTTTGGGGATTCAAAAGTAATTTTTTTTTAAATCCAAGTCATATTTAATTAGCAATTTTTGTGTGTTCAAGTGGTACTGTAATTAATTTATCCCCAGCACAGCCAATGTGCACAATGCTTCTAGTAGAATGGATTTTAGGCGACTACAATACACACCTTGAAAACTTGGAAAAGTCAGAATTTCATTCTTCTGTTTGAATGGCAACCCTGCTGCTATGTCTGTGGTATAAATCATATGACTCCTTTTGTCTGATTCCTCCCTTCAATGCCAGTGCTTTATTTTCATGTGCTATTTGTGTACCTGTTTATTGGCTTTAATACAGCGTCAGATTCTATTGAAATTAATTTTAGTGACGCATGTAAATGCATGCTGTGAGTGATTATAGAATGATATGTAAGTTTCCGAAGATTGATTGTTAAATTTTTCTAGAAACAGTATTTGTATTACATTGAAGATGGTCAGCATCTTTGAAGATGACCATGGGAGTGCCTAGAGCCATAGACAAAGAGAGAAATCTTGAGATCTTATGATTATCATGTGCTATCTAAATCTTTAGGCAATAGTTGAACTTCAGCAGAGTCAAATTTTTAAGATATTCTGGGCATTTATTCTAGTTATTCTTTTATTTTCAGTTAATATACCTTTTTTTAATATGCATTAAATTCTGTCATATCTATTGCATGAATTTAGTGTCTCATTACTTTTCTAATTGATGTTAAAAACTGAATTCATTAGGAGCATATTTGTTATTATACAAACAAAAAGAGTATATGAAAATATACTTTGGGGGGGGCTTGTAATTAAAAAGTGTTGTGTTTTAGGGGGATGGTTTAAGGCAGAAGAATTCTTACAGAACTTTGAATGCCTTTTAAAGCTCTTGAGTATTCTCCCCCTCCCAGAAAAAAATGTTTACATTTTCTAATTATTATCAAATGATATTTTGTTGTTTTACAAAAATTTCTTTTAAAATAAACTAGTTATAAAAAATTTTGTTATTCTTTGTTTCAAAAAAATTGTTTCATCAAATTCTTAATAAAACTGAAAGTAGTGTTTCACCAGAAAGTATTTTTTAAAAGATACTTTCCTTTAATAAATAAAGCATAATTAATACTTATACAAGTATCGTACTGGTTCAAATGCAATACAACCTTACATATCTGAAAACCATATAGTTTTCAAGATATTTTACAGAGACTGGACTAGGCTAAGGCTGATTGTCTGTGTGTGTATGCTTTAATTGCTGGAAGAACATTTCATTAATGTTAGGTGGTATAGATAGCATACAGCACAAGCACATAATTTATTAGTTCGTACACAATCTGAAATTTAACACTGTGATACTGTAAAGTAACTTCATGAAACTGTAATGGTAGGTTTATGTGTTTATTGATGAATTCATAATGCTTTTGTTACAGTTTTAACGTATTCTGCATTTTATGTAGTCTTTAATACAAAATTTCAAACCATTAATGATTTGTTTGTCAACTAAAGCAGAAAGCATTTGCTGTTTTATTTTTTATATTGGTTTCATAAAGTGTGCAGTATGTATCAGAAGAAATGCAACAAAATTAAATGGCATATACAGAAGATTAGAAGAAACAAAACAAGCTTCGCTACTGAAATAGTTCTGTCCATCATTTTTCTCAAGACCTCTGCAATTTCAAAATATTGCATTGTCATTTTCAGCTGGGCAAGTGAAGGAACTGTATGATGTTCTTGGTGATGTTCTCTGTCTGTATATTGTAGATTTGAAAACATACTAATTTCATCTTATAAAATTATGTGAAACTAGTTTTGCACCAGAAGTCCTTAAACACAGCAAAGGACTCATTGCATGTATTCAGTTAGCATTTCACAACATTTGGGAATCTTTGAAAATGTCAGACAGGCAATGTTAATCATACTATATTAATAGTCAGCAAGTTGAGCACTTACTATGAGATTACTTCATATGGAGGGACATCTTGAACTCAGTTAATTCTTTTTACATAACATTTTTTGTACTTCAGAAAAGGGAAAAAAAAAAAAAAAATCTATTTATATTTTCTTTTGCCCTTCAGGAGGAGGAAATAATGAATATATAATATAATTATCTCTTAACACAAAATGCATATTAACATAAAATGCATGAAATTTTGAATTTAATAGAAATACTTTTTTTAATTTACTTTTATTTTTAGTACCAAGGAGCATAAAAATGCAATAATGAAGGCATTTCATGGAAAGGTCATCTCACTGATGAGGCATACTGTAAGTATATATTAAAATATTCTAGCTTTTAAGCCCAACGGGCGTTAGCCCAGAAGGGCTATTATTATTATTATTATTATTATTATTATTATTATTATTTGTCACTTTGCGTTGGTTCACTATAAATGTTGATTTACTTTTCAAATTGTTGCCAACATTAGAGCCCTGTGTAATATTTAAAGAAATTAAATAATGAAAAATCTGCATAAATGTATATATGTTTCTCACATTATGATAAAACAACAGTACCTAGTGCCATCAAATTTTGAATAATGTAATCTTCCACTGAATGTCAGCATCTGGAAGTCTGAATTGGAAATTTGAAATTTGTCTTATTATCGATTTCATATTTTGTAACACTTTAACGAATTTTTAATTAAAAAATTCAACGATTTCAAAGCGAGCAATGGCAATACTGTATGGGGGGGAGAGAAAAAAACATTTTTATCTCCAGCGCACAAGGCTGTGTATCGGAAATTCTAAAGATAGGCTCATTTAAAAATTATTTTGCAAAATTGCTGTTGATGTTGAATGTTATGGTTCTGTGCATTTGAATTGTTTTACAATCAGTTAGCAGAAATTTTCCAACTTTAAAGTATCTTGGGCTTTTGCTTAGCCTTATTAGAGATTTCAGTTTTTTGTTTTGCTGTACTGGCAGTGAGCAAATTTATCACATATTTTTTTTTTTTTTACTTTTCCTGTTAATGTGCATTTAGTCTTTATTTTACTTTATAAAAATGTTAAAATAGTCCTATTGCATCTAAGTTAAAAATATATTTGATTCTAAATATTAGGTGAAAAGTATTTTTCAATGTAATATTTTTGTATTTTTCCTTTGAATTAACATGAGTATTAGTTGCTTCTTTGCATTTAGTGAAACACAGACTATGTCTTTTTAAAAAATATTCTCTATGCAGCAGTGGGATTTTCAACATTTAAGTTCCTTCTTAATTCCATTGCATGTAGAGCCACCAAATTTTGAATATATGTAGTTCTCCACCTGAACATGTGAACCTCAACGCTTCAATTTTGAATCTCTTATTGCTCATTTTATATTTACTGCAAATTTAATGAACTTTTGATTATAAGTGATTTAAAAGTTAGTGTTGGCACTTTGCAAAGCATAAGATATTTCTATTTCAAATTTACTTTGAAAACTCAGTGATATAAAATGTTTTGCCACGCACCAAATCACGGTGCATTGGTCTTTCAAATTTTATCATACTGCTGAAAAATGGCAGCACTTAAAGCCACCAAATTTTGAACATACATAGACCTCCAACTGAAAATCTGCATCTTAAGACCGGAAATTTGAATTTGTGTATGTTTTATTTCATATTTTGTGCAGAATTAAGGAATTTTTGATAAAAACTTCAATATAAAATGTTTGTGCTTCTACTCAGCAAAACATAAGATAATTTAAGACATATTTGAAATTTAAACAGAAACTTTAATATTTAAAAGAAATGTGTTGCCACCTGGCAAAACATAAGAAATTTCAGATTTAAAAAAAGAGCTCAGTGGTTTAAAAGAAATGTGTTGCCACTGCCTGATGTAAAATACTTTTATTTTCCACCTGCCAGTTTGTTGCCATTTGATAAAGCATGAGATATTTAATTTTTCTTTCAAATTTGTTGCATTATTAATTAAAAAACTAAATGATTTAAAGAGTATTTTCAATAAATAAAGAGTATTTTCAATTTTTATTAATTACCAGCTGAACTGTGAAATTAACTTGATACATATGTTTCTTTTTGTGATTCAAATTTCCAAAATCATTTGTATTGTACTTTTAAAATTAAAAAAAGTATTTTTCTCTCCTTTTAGTGTGTGTGTAAAATATAAAATATCTACCTTTCTAATAATAAATTAACAATAGCCCCTTAACTCCCTTAACTATATATAAATTCAACATATATTCATATTTAGGATGCAGCTGTAGTATTAGAAAGTGCTTTCAGTGAATGTGCATCTGCCACACAAAGATTTGAATTTGTACAAGAATTCTATGGCCCCAGTTATAGGTATTTTAAGGTATGTATGTGCTACTCTCTTTGATGTATAAAAATATCAGAAATAATTTATAATTATACTTTTTTTTTTTTTTTTTTTTTTTGTAAGACAACTGAATTTCATTCTCTAAAAGAATTATTTGAAAAACATCCTGAACAAAAATCTACTGTTATCCAAAACATGAAAGATGAACTCATGAAAGTGCTAGATAAGTAAGTATTTTAAATGATTATTTTTGAAAAGCTAATTGTAATGATCAATCCTTTAGTAGTAGCCATCAACTTTTGTCATTTTATATGTTATAATATGACGTTATTATATGTTATAATATGATCAAAGACTGATTCTTCAATCCTTGATCATATTATTAGATGTTCTAATGTGTTTGAATGGGATGTTGTTTATGTTAATATGCAGCTTGAGAATATATTTTTACAATAAAAAATTTTTGTCTCTGCTAATGTTCTTAAGTAACATTCTAAACTTAGTGTAAATATCAGTTATTGAAAGTATACTTACAGTATCGGTATACTTTATCTGAATTTATTTTCCCCTTTATTCTTCTGTTCAGAATAATTCTGGTATGTCAACTTTATGATGCCAGTGAGTACTTCTGTACGTGCAGCATGTTGCAGTATCAATCCAAAATTCTATCCTTAAACCATTATCTGTTGTTGTTTAACCACGGATATATGTGCTTACATGTTCAGCACGTAGAGTTATTAGAATTTTTTTTTTTTTTTTTTAAACAGGAAATGAAAAAAAAGATCAGTGCTCTCACCGGGACTCGAATCTGGAGCTCTTGAATATGCATTGAGTGTGCTACATTACACTACAAAGGCATGTTGAAAGGAGAGGTCCAGGTTCGAGTCCTGGCGAGGGCATTGATAATTTTTTTTTTCATCTCCTGTTTTAAAAAAAAAATCCTAATGACTCTACAGTGGTGCCGGAACTGAAAAAGGTAGTGGATGATGATTCTTCACCACCAGGATTTGACGATTGGGTCCCCTGCTTCCCAGTTGCCCTTTAAAAGGGGAAGTATATAAGGTATTTTCTCCCTTCTGTCTGCATGCCTTCAAGGTGTAATGGTTAGCACACTCGGCACGTATTTGAGAGGTCCGGGTTCAAGTTCCGGCGAAGGTGTTCACATTTTTCATGTTTCTCACTTCAAAAATGTTAATGACGCTACAGTGGCTGCCTAACTAAACGGTGGTGGATGATTATTCTTCACCATGGTGTTGTAAAACAATTTTTTAGCCTCAAAATTTCACAACAAATTAATAAAAGCAGAGAGCAAATTGATTCCTCTTACCTTGTATCCAATGCAGTTTCATGCAAGATGATAGCTAATTGAAACGTGTAATCCAAAAGAAGTAGTAGTCGGAAATTATAAATTGATATATGAAAATAGATTAAAATTCGTTAGTATTCCATAATACATATCAAAAAGGGAGTTATATAATAGAGAGTGTATCCTTTCCTGAAGGAGTGAGAAAAGTAAGAGTAAAGAATAAGCGAGTTACACAATTAACTTATTTTGCAGTGTTTCCAATTTACATTGTTTATTGCGCTATTGGTGACAGTCTCCATTACTATATACATGCCAACATAGGTTCCCTAATTCCCAGTTGCCCATTAAAAGGGGCGAGTATTAACTACATGCCTTCTTGGTGTAACAGTTAGCACACTTGACGCATATTTGATAGGTCCCATATTTGACTCCCTGTGAGGGCATTGCACATTTTTCTCGTCTCCAACTTTAAAATAACCTAAGCCCCGTTCACAAGAGCAGATTTGACCAGTAGCGAAAACTGGTTCTTCCATCGTGTCCCATTCACATGGCGACAAGCATTAACTGCTTCTCCGAATTGGAGGTAGAACATTCCTACCTCTCAGGAGCAGGGTAAATGGGGAGATTTCTCATACTGCACTGCGCGGTTCTCTTAATTTTAACAAACAACATGGCTGACGTGCAAACTGACTGCTCTCTGGACTGTCAGTGAAACAATTGCATTGGTAGGTATCTGAGGATGCAATATCATCAAAAAAAAAAAAAAAAAAAAAAAAAAAAACATAGAACCGTATGAAATACGAAAATTTGTAAACAAGTACCGACAAGGTTATTTGATGCTAGGTATTCCAGAAATCCCGTTCAAATTAAAACTAGTCACTTATATGGGCTTCAACTCGACAAGGGGACTCGGTATCTTTTGAATGATTTTTTAATTTAAGAACTTTCATCTACTTTTATGAATGTTAATAAATGGTTTTGTAAGACAAATTAATTTTATGCTGAGAAAAAATTTTTTGCCATTTTTTTTTTTTAAATTTAAATATTTGGAAGAAAAGTTTAACAATTAAAATGTCATTCTTCTACAATTTTCAAAGATTTTGCCCCATATTTTCTTATTGCATTAATTAGAAAGTTCTTAATAGCTTATAGGATCGATTTTGCAATTAATGAATTAGTTTCGGAGAAAAAATAAAACACATTTTGATGCAAAAAAACTTTGAAACAAATATGATCTCAATCACATTTCCACTTCAAATCTTTTTTTTTTTTTTTTCTTTCTCTTTCAGTATTTTGCAAAACCCATTCTTGTTTTTTTAAAGTATATAATTTTAATTAAGTCGTAAAGATATTAAATCATCTAGGCCATATCTATATAAGTTTTAGGACTTTAAATAAAAGTATTTATCAAAAAAATGCAAAGTGAGAAAACGCAGTTTAAAGAATATAAGCTGTCTATGTGGTCATTAAATCATTTCAAATTTCTTCAAAATTTTATTACTGAATTTTATTACATATATATAAAATAAAACCTAATGCTATTCAATTGGTTAATATAAACATAAATTACAAACTTTTATTTAAAATCTTTGTAAAACACGTTTGCTATTGAATGCAATTTAACAATGTTTTTGCATGACATCTGTACAGGACTTTTTTCCCCCCCAAAGGAATTATAAAATTGATTTAAAATGGATTCAGAAGATTTTTTAATAAATCCATGCATTCCGCATACTTCAAAAACAAGTAGCCTCAGAACATTGATAGTTTTGTGTATAGGACTGCTATAACATGTAGTTGTGCACCTCCCTTTTTGGTTGTAACTGGCTACACCAAAAGTATGTAAATAAAAATATATATGCCCACTTTGTTACTCTGTGAGATCATTTTTTTTCCCTTATATGTTGGTAAATTTTGCATTTTTTGCTTTAAAAAATGATTGAATTATGTTATTCTTACCGGTTAAGTTTTTTATACCTTATTTTTTATGCCTTAACTATTCCATGCAGTTGATCTGCATGCAATATTTATGGAATTATCAACAATTTAAAAGTTGTTTAAGTGTGACTAAGCCCTTTTTCTTTTTTTTTTAAACCATAGCAGCTATATTTGTTTACATTTGAAACTTAGCAGAATAGTGAATCAAGTCAATTTCTTCCCCTTCAGTGTCTTTTTTCGAGTGGGACCAAAAGTAAACTTTCTGTTTTGCATACTGAAAAATCTGCCTTCTTGCCTGCTGGCTGAATTGTTTGCTTTTGCGTAGAAACTCTAATTTTAATTGTAAAAATTGTTTTTTAATCATTTTAACTGTGTTAGGTGTTTTATATTTTTCTACATTTTTCAATTTTTAATGAAGATATTTTGAATTTTTATGAATTTTTGCCTTGTTGCCAAGTGAGAACTGAATTGATTGAATGAGAAATATATCTCTAATGAATTTCTAGGAAATAAGTGTTTCGTATTAGCAGCAAATGCTGTCGTCAGTCTGTATTGGACAGATTAGAATGTTTACGCATAGTGCATGCACATTAGGTAAGCGGCACTGAATCGTCTCTGAAAAAACTTTTTCTTTTTTATTTGTTTAATTTCTTTTGTGCATCATTTTATATTTATTATAGTATTTGAATAGAACATGTGGCAACGATTAGATAATTCTTCAGACAATATAATTTTTATGCATTCTGAGTTATAAAATGAGTTAGACGTAATGCTGTTCAGTGAACCTAGCTGCAGTGTCACTATGGTAAATAAATATAGTGAGTTTTTAAAACATTTATTCTATTGTGGTTTATGCATTATCAACGAAGTAGAATTCAATAAGTTTAAATGAAATGCAGCAAAAATACTTATAATTTAATAGTCCATACAAGGAAGTCAAGTGGTATCCGCATCAGATTTTTTTAACTAAGTCAAACTCGTTTGTCGAATTTCAGGTCTGTTATCAAGCACAGTATTGTGCACCATGTTTTGCTACAGTTCATAACGAACTGTGATCCAGAGTCTAGAGCAGAACTGATTGAATCTCTTCGAGATGCTGTTGCAGAAATACTGCATACAAGAGATGGTTCTAGAGTAGCTATGCATTGTGTATGGCATGGGACTCAAAAGGTACGTATAATATGGAAATGAAAAATATGAGCAACTGGTGCATTTAATTAACTCTTATTTTTATTTAATAACCTTTCTTGTGATAAAGTTGATGTAGGAAGTCATTTTTATCATTTTTTTAAATTTTAATTTATGTTATTCATAAATCTTTAACATATATAGAAATTTAATTGTGAAAAATGTACCTATTACAAACACAGTATTTCTGTTGCTGATATAGCTTCATGTGGCCTGCATTATAAATCACCCATGAATTACTTACGCTTATGTATAGAGCTAAATTTGGTTTATTTTTTGTTTTAACAATATGAAAGTAAAATGTAGTCTCTTCATATGCAAAGAAAATTTTGAGCAAAGGAGCAGGAAAATAAAGATTATAATATTTTATTACTACTGAAGAACTGCAAACCTTCTTGTTCAGGAAGTCCGGATGGAAATTTCTTTAGATTGATTCTGTGTTTCTTAAAATGAAAATTTACTCAATTAACAGAGGCAAAAGGTCCAGGTCCAGCCAAGAAAAGGCATCCTAATAAGATGAGATGAACATAATGGCTTATCTGCCCCACCATGGTCTCCATCCTATTCAGAATTATTTTAAAGAAAAGAGAGACCATTTTAAATAAAACATGGACCATTCAAGAAAATTAAAGCAGATGCGCAGTAAGATGAATGACAGCTGAGATTTGCAGCTTTTAGTTAAAGTCTGGGAAGATATAAACTAAGCTAAAAAAAACTCTGAGAATGGGAGGTGATTCTCTTAAGCATGTGCAAACTTCAAGGGGGGATAGGTTATTCAGAGTTGATTACATAGCAGTATAGGAGTGGAAACCCAGTCTTTATGTGCCAGTGTGCACAGAAGAAAACACAAGAGATGAAAGAGAGAGTGATGAGAATAATAATATTCTAATCAGCAAATTATTGTGATATTGAAAGGTCACAGTGTGTATTCGAAATTACAGCTGCCAGCTACAATTCGAGCATAACATCCGCGCGGCTTAGAATCACGGATGTTTTGGAATATATTGAGATCATGCTAGCTACGTGAAAAGTTACTTCTCACCGGCCTTGAGTGTTTCATAAATCAGGCTTTGCAGGTAACCCAAAGAAAAAAAATATAGGCAGGACAGATAAATGAATAGGACCACCACAACCAATTCACCTTTAGCCAAATGTTGAATTCACATGTTGGCAAATGGAAAGAATAAGGCTGATATCCCATTATTCTGAAAGCACATATTGTTGTGCTGCAGTTCCTGGATGCTTTGCTCATCTTACAATGTGAGCAATACTTCCCACAAGACTTACACTGTCTCTCCAGACAAACAGGCATGAAATATGTGGGCCATTAGGTGGTAACCACCAATGTCTGCTTCAAGCATTTGTGAAAAACTGGTTTTGTGATGCACGTGCTTGAATACCCTTGGGGTTATTCACTGCCCATACATGTATGTTGTAGCAACCTTCTTTGCTGAAGTATGCCTCGCTGATGAACCGGATATTAGACGAAAAGTGGAGTTCTGTCACACACTTCTGCTTGAACATTCACAATGCATAATCAGCTAGAGGCAGTTGCCATATATAGATACAATTGGTTCGAGTGCAGGATTCTAAAGGCAGTGGTTTAGGAAACAGCAGGGTTTGTGGCGATCACTCATGTGCTGACATGTGGATTTCTTTCTGCATAACGGAGTACTATCTCTAATACTTCAAGTTTCTGTGCAATTTGTTCTTGATTCCGTTGATTTGTTCCAAAAGATCCTGCATTACAGGATCTTTAATACACTCACGTTTGTGAAAATTGCAACACCATGAAGGACTTACGCGAGTGAGCTGAAATTTTCAGGAAATGCAAAGTAGCGCATGATATGCAAATGATTAGAATTGCAAATCCGTAGCGCATGCGTATGCTGAGCAGCGCCCTCTGAACGGCTGATGGATCCGAATAAATAGACGGCTGTAGCGAGGCGTGTATGGTTATCGGTGGTTATCTGCTAGTGGTAAATGTTAACTCAATCTGTACTTATGCCTCGTCGACGAAAGAGAGCGAGATTTGAACAACTTACAGAGTTTGAACGAGGGGAGAATCATCGGCCTTCGTGAAGCTGGATTGTCGTATCGTGCAGTAGCCTCTCGTGTGCAGCGTAACAGCAGCACAGTGATGCGCGTTTGGAAGCAGTGGACGGACGAGTGTCGGACAACTCGGAAATCCGGGAGTGGACCCCGAAATGTGACGTCAGCTCGCGATGATAGAGACACCTGGTCCGCATGGCGCGGATGGGACCGTACAGCTTCCTCTAGACAATTGGCAGCACTGTGGTCAATAGCTACAGGTGTTTCATTGTGTGCTTCATCAATTCGTAGACGTCTGCTGCAGTGTGGACTGCGCGTACGGACTCCTTTATACAGGATCCCCCTAACGCACGACCATCACCGCCTGCGGCTACAATGGGCCAATCAGCATAGAGACTGGCGTGCTGATTGGCAGCATGTTGTGTTTTCTGACTAATCCCGCTTTAATTTGTGGTACCATGATGGCCGCATTCGTGTCAGACGCTATGCCGGTGAACGCCACCTTCCGGAGTGCATTATCGAACACCACAGTGGACGAACACCCGGAGTTATGGTCTGGGGCGCCATAGCATATCATAGATGATCTCAATTGCTACGAATTGTGGGCAATCTGAACAGCAAACCGGTATATCCGTGAAGTTCTACAGCCCGAAGCTGTTTCCCTTCCTTCAAAGCTTGCCAGGCGCTGTATTTCAACAGGACAATGCCCGCCCCCTCATACTGCTCGGATTGTTAAATCCTTCTTTGCAGCGCAGCAGGTACAGCTTCTTCCTTGGCCTGCGTGTTCCCCGGATATGTCGCCAATTGAACATGTGTGGGATGTCATTGGTCGGCGTCTTGCTCGTGATCCTCGTCCTGTTGCGTCTGCAGACGAACTTTGGGTACGCGTACAAACGATATGGAATGCTCTTCCTCAGTCAGACATTCAAACTTTGTTTGACTCCATGCCACGTCGTGTAGCAGCACTTATTGCGGCGCGTGGTGGCCACACAAAATACTGATTCTGATCTCTTGTTCTTGTTTGTTTGCTTTGAACATTTAATCATTTATTTGTACCACTACCACTCAACTGTGTATTAAATTGCATTCAATTATGATGATTCCTTCTTGGTGTTGCAATTTTCACAAACGTGAGTGTATAATCATGCAAACACCTAGTGATTCAGAATCTGCCTATTCAGGTATAGCTCATTGTACTAATATTCGCATACCACTATAATACAGTGTCTTGCCTAATATTCAGTTGCTCTATATGTTAGATGCATATCTGCTAATTCAGATTTGTTGAAATCTCCTATTTCCTCTGTGGTTGATTGCTGAATGCTGAATTTTGCATGCAGAGGTTTTATCTCTTCCATAGCAATACCCTTTAGCATGCTACAAATGCATTTCCATCCCTATATTGCTTTATATTTCTGAACTGTCTCTAAGTAACCTACCCCTCTATGAAGTTTGTCCACACTTAAGCGAATCACATATCATATTTACATACACTGTAATATACACTGTATAGTGTAGTGGTATATACACTGTATAGTGTATGTAAATATTTATTATGGCTAATAAATTAGTAATTCTTAGTACTGATATTATTTTAAATATACTTTGAAACGTTTTACAGTGTTTTATAATTATGAACCTGTTTGAGAATGGTTTAAGATTGTTTTGGTTTATTTAATTATGGCAAAGCAGACTAGGCTATCTGCCTAAGGGGAGTGATGCCTTCGTGGAGGACTTTCTAAGGAAAAATGGCTTGTATACACGTTACACATGGGGAAAACCACAGAAACACCCATGCAGCCAGCCCGTTCGCAGGATTCGAACCTCAGACTGAACTACTGGTATTCAGTGACTTTACCACTCGGCTGCTGGTGGGCCAGTTTAAGATTGTTCCCATAGTAAACTGTTGGATGCAATATTCCACACAATTAGTGTTATCATAGATTAAATTTTGCTTATTATGCAAAGCATTGCTATATACATAAACATACACTGATTTTTTATATATGTTATATGGTTACTACCGTTAAAAGTCATTAATCCGGACTTGTCGGGACTTCGGCGATTCCGGATTATCGATTTTTCCGGATTATAGATCATCAGTTTAAATCTGGTAAGATGGCATGCAGAAATTATAAAATTAAAAATATGAAACCGTAATTTATGAAATAAAGAACAATTATTATCTAAAGGTTATCAAAATTCACTAACCTCTCTGTCACTTTCTTCATGCCTTTATCCATTTTTTGCAGCAATTCTACTTTTTGTTTGATGGACATCGAAACATACTTTCGCTTTGTAGATCCTTTGGGAGCTCCAGCAACGGAAATTCTATTTGACATAATCGAAAGTTCAAGCTTACTTTTATAAAATTGCTCTAACAGTCTGCAAAAAGTAATAAGCTGGATCCAATTAGAAGATTAAGGAACAACGCAATCTGCAACATTAACTGAAATAGATAATTAGATAATTTTAGCTTATACTGTCTGTTATACATTAAATGCGCATGTGTAAACGTATTATGCGCTTGCGCACATGCATATGCGCAGCCATAAAGGTCTTACGCATGTGCAGAAAGTTTGTAGCTTTGAGGTCCGGATAATGGGTGTCTGAATTAACGACTTTTGACTGTATTAACATTTTTAATGTACTGTCAGATATGATAGAATGATAGTAAACTCTCCCTGTTAAGTTTGATTTTTTACTCTCAGAGTGTAAAAATGTATTATTTTGTAATAAATATTTCTCTGGGAAGTCTGAATTTTTGAAATCTTTATTATGTTACTAGATAAATTTACTATGTTCACCAGATTATTTTTTCTAATATTATATATACATGCACTAGCTATATTAGCTTTCCCATTTCTTCTAGGATCGTAAACTGATTATAAGAAGTATGAAGACATTTGTGGCAAAAATCGCCATGGAAGAATGTGGCCATATGGTACTTTTAGCTTTATTTGATTGCATGGATGATACCAAAGTTTTGATGAAGCACATCATTAAAGTAAGTGTGGAAGTTTCCATTTTATGGATTGTTTTAGTAAAATAAATGTATTTTACTTTTTATGGTTGCTTTTGTTGAGAGTTGAAAATTATCTTTCTGGTTTGGTTTTATATTTAATTATGATAAAGCATATGCCTGAGATGAGGGTTGCTTTTGTGGAAGTCTGTTCACCTGAAACTGAGCCGAGGTCGAATTGCCAGTGTTCTGTGATTTTTATCACTCAACCACTGGTTGGCCAAGTTTTCTTTCTGATCAAAAGCAAATTCATGGGAAGTAAAGACTTGCACATAAGATTAATTGAAAAAAAAAAAAAATAAGAGCTTTCTGTATTGAAAATATTTGGGTGAGAGTGAATTCCCGGAGAGCGTGCTTTGGTCCGTGGGTCTGCCCTCCGGATGAATCCGGCACTGGGTTGGGCACTCTGTGTGAGGCGTTTGTGTCACCACGCTCTGGCCAAACTCTAGATATAGGTGGACGTGGCGCTATACCAATTAACCTCAATGGTAGAGGCATGGTGCCCACGCCCTCCGTCGCATGTATTGAAAATATGTATAGAGTTACCTTCAAATTCACATTTCTACATTGACTTTCGCTCATATAAACTTCATACGAACTTGTGAACTTTTGGACTTCTTTTTAAAGAACTAAAGACTATTTCATTATTATATATATTTAGACTTTTTCTAATTCTCTTTGACTATGTAAAAACTTTACTGACTATTTATAACTAATTCTAGGCAATATTTGTCAAAATTCTAAATTTCATCCTGATTTCATTGGTTTATTTTTAATTTTATATATTTAAAAATTTTCTTTTGATGTCTACATTCTTACATTTTTAACTACATTTATCTGTTTATTTTTTCAACTGTATCTCTACACATCTCAAAATTGTATTACTGTAATAATTGTATACATGTTTTATATGTTTCTTTGTACACATTCTCTAATGTAAACTCTATATCATTATTCATAAATGTAAAAACTTATGTAAAAAACTTTATTGTGCATTTAACATTGAGTGAATGGGTATCTAAGTAATTTGGCGAGATCTCGTCAAGCTGATATTGGTTTTGGTGAATAATTTTATCCCCGAATTTGGCGAGAAATTGGCAAAGTCCCCCAAATATGGTGACATTTTGGTCCTGCCCCTCTATCACGGTGATATGCAATAAAATTGAATGAATGTAATTGACCACTATGTTAGCTGTAACCATAATCCACACTCTTATTGCTTTCCAGTGATTTCGAGAAGCAGAAAGTACTAGAAATATCTTCCTACCGAGTGAAAATAATTTAAGGTCTAAGAGAGAGCATCTGCTCTTGGTTGCTTGGTTAGTGTTGTTGCGAGTTTTTTAGTTCCGCGTGAACTTAGATATCCAAGTTAGCTTTTTCTTTAGATGCACTTTGCATTGCATTGTGTTTAATGTTCTTAGTAGTTTGAAGTATAACTGCTGATTATTAGTGCGATACTATGAACACTGTTATAAAGAATGGATGTATGTATTTGTGTTCCTATAAAACTGTTGTGGCAGTAGTAAAATATCCCATAAGTAAAGCATTAATAAAATTTTGCAGAATCTATTAGAAAGGTCCCTTGTCATTTTACAAGTTATAAAAATCTAGCTAAAGCTACAATTTTGAAAAACACTTTTTGACAGTAGCACTCTGATGGCACTTGTGACAGTTCTTTGTTTCTAGATGCTGTTTCTTTGTTTCTAGACTGTTAATCTTATTGTAGATCAAAAGTTTTAAAATATTCATAGAAAAAGTCAAATGATCTGGACTTGCTTGCATCTGGTCATTACTCCCTTAACAATCTTCCCACAATTATCATTCAGACTGTGGACATTAAGCCGAGGAAAAGAGTACTGTAGTTCTTGTGAAAGAGATTTTTATTTTTTATTTCCCTTCTTATTTCGAAATTCTGAGTAAGCCGAGGAAAAGAGTACTGTAGTTCTGGTGAGAGAGATTTTTATTTTTTATTTCCCTTCTTATTTCGAAATTCTGAGTTCCAGCCTGTGCTGCCTTTTTGACAAAACACGTTCAATGATAATACCCGATGCCAACTCTCCCCGTGTTGGTGGTTTCCAATCATACTCCCACCAGCCCAATTTATAGCATAGTTCTCCCAACTTTCTCTAATATTTAAAACTTCTCATGAGAAATTTGTGGCGAGTAACTATTAATGTTTAAAGTGTATTGCCAAGTAGTAAACTCTCCCTATTAAGTCAGATTTTTGCAGTTTTGTGTGTTTGCAATTAAAAGTCATTACATAATCTCACTGAATGTTCATAAAACCCAGTAAACCACAGAAAGAGCATTAAAGAACAAATGTGTCAAGCATATAAAATAAAATAGAGGGTTCAAAATATTCTCTTTTGATGAAATTAGTTCTCATGACGTAGATATTCGACACAAAATTGCTGCAGATTTTGTGTGTTTGCAGTTCTGGGCTAAAATAAATCAATATTCTGTTTGTCATTGCAGTTTTTCAATTTTGTATGATGGAAAGGCCGATGAAGCTTGACTACTTCATTATTTGCATACAAAAAAGTGATTTGGGCCATATAAAAGTGCTTATTTTCCTCTACATTACATATAAAAAACACTGAAGTTTCTTCTATTATTTGTTACATTTCTTTTATTATGTCTTCAAGGGAATGTAATGTGTCCTATTTGTCATTACAGTTTCTCAATTCCGTACGGTGGAAAGGCCCATGTTCTTAAACATGTATGTACACAAAAATACAAGAAAAAAGTGAGTTCTCTTGGGGGTGGGGAAGAATTAAAATTTTATGTGGGAACAAAGGACCAAAATGTTATTAATGCAGAATGCTGTTCTCAGTCTTTTTACTGAAGCACAACCTGCCTCTGAATACATCAAATTATGCTGCAGCTTTATTTAGAATAATATTTCCCAATAACAAAATTGCTAAGAAATGCTCAAGTGCGAGAACAAAAACGGTTGCAACTGTTAAAGAAATAGATATGAATTACAGTTAGAATGTGATGTAGGGTTTCTAATATTGTTTGGAGAATTTTTTTGAAAACATAATAAAAAAACTTACCTAAATTTCCTATGGTACTACTTTGTTAGTACAGTTCCTGTTATTTAAACGATGCCAAGAGCTTTTGTGCTAATGGTGTGTGACAAAATAGCAATCTTATGCAAAGATGTTTTCATGGTGGGCAGACTTAGGATTGCTGGCCACATGCTGATGGTTTCCAAAGAGCTCCAAGGAGGATTACCACTTTGGCATGGTTCATTAACAAGGGGGTTGTAAGCTGCATTTAAATTACACGAGCAGTAATAATAAGAATATATCTTTTCTAGTTTTAATCCCAAACATTTTTCTCTTGAAACAATTCCATTTCCTTCATTTTCTCTTCTTTTTTGTTTTGATTTTTGCTCTTTGAATGTATGGAAAATTGCAAAAGTGATTCTGTTCATGTCATATGGACAGGCATCTATAGGGAAAGGAATTCCTCTGCTGATAAAGATATTAAAGAAGCTTCATCATAGATATCTGAGTGCACATTATATCATTTTGTAAGTAAGATTAGCAAATTCTAGACACATACAGATTTTTAGAAAAATAAAAGTTTTTAATAATAAAAATAAAAGCTGAAGATGAAAGCTAATACTATAGAAGGTGATGGAGATTAGTAATAACATTCATTTGTTTGCTGAAGCAAATGAATTTAGAACAGTAGTTAAAATGAAGGAAATATATATAAATTAGCTAAATTATCTGGCAAAATTTCATATTAGAGATACAAATCTTTTGTAATGTTATGGGTGCTTTATATCTTTTAATGTAAAACCTTGTAATATCATTTTAAAACCAACACAATAAATTATAATTATTTGTTACTTTAAACTACAAAATTTCATAGGAATCTGCTTTCGGTAGTTTATGAATATTTTTACAAATAAAAGGGTTTTTTAATAACTATGTTAATCTTTATTAAGATATATGTAATTGTTGTAAGAGTAAAATATAAGTGTTTAAAAAAATTACGTTTGTAATTTTATGTTAACTACTCAAAAATCTTTAGAGAGTTGGTTTTATCCATAACCTATTTTTTATTAAATTTGCTTGGAGGGGGAGAAACGCTGCGGCGCGCAATGAATTGGAAGTTGATCTGTCAGCACTATCTTTATCTTCAGGGCAGATGTTTTTATTTTATTTGGCTTATAATTCCTTACGAAATGTAGTATTTCATCTCGATGTACTCCATCTTTGATATGATTTAAATCAAATTCCTCGTCATTATAATTCACTTCCGATAGTGAAGAAAGTGACACAGAGGTTATTGAAAATGAAGAAATTCGATTGACAAATTAGTTGGTATTCTCGACACAGCAATTATAGGACTTGAACAGCGGAACTTTGTAACTGAACAAGAAATTATGTCTGTTTATAGAATTAAAGAGAAAGTATTATCACATAAAACGAAACAACTTACATTGAAAGAAATGTTTAATAAAGTAAACAAATAAATATTAAGCCTTTTTTTAATTTCAGCATGCCCTCTGACCATATTTAAACTGATCATCTATAATCCGGAATCGCCGAAGTCCCGACGAGTCCGGATTAACGACTTTTGACTGTATCTTCAAATGCTTTATGTCTCACTTTTACTCTAATCTGAAAACCCATTTTATTCTGATTTTTTTATTTAATTGTTAGTGATTTTTGTTTTTTAGAATTTTACTATTAAAAATTTAATGGTAAAATTAAATTTTTTAATAGTTATTGATTAAATTATTTTTTAATAATTTAATCAATAAATCAGTACTCATTGATTATCTGCCCAATCTTGAAAACAATTAGTAGGCAACTTGCTATGTTACTGAGGGAGGAGTGGGATGTTTTGTTTCCTTTTAATTTAATTATTTTGTTATTAGTTTATGTAATATTCAGTGTTTTATTATAGATGTTTTTTTATAGTTTTTCACATTTTTTTATTATGAATATATCTTTCATTTTTAA